TAGTTTACTTGTGTATTTACTTTTTATTGAGTGTACTATTTATTAAAAAGCTTATATAAAACAGGATGCCATTATTACAGTCAGCAGCCTTATACATCTTACGATTACTACATCTCTTGATCACATCATTTTTTTCTTGCTCTTAATTTAATTTTCTTTTTGTGTGCTGTGTATTGGACCCAGGGTCTCACAAATGTAAGACACATGTTCTACTACCGTGGTATGCCACCAGTCCTTCTGTTTTAGTCATATGCTTTGTTCAAAGTGGTCCTATCAGTAATAAGCCTATATAAATATTCACATACATATATCACAGATCCTAGGTGTGTAGTAGCTACACTATCTAGGTTTGTGTAAATATGTCCTGTTACACTCAGTGACAAAATTGATTAACGATATATTTCTCAGAATGTACCTGTATTATTAAGCAATGTAATCAATTTTAACATTTGTCTTTTAGAGTTTTTTTTGGTACCAGGGATCAAACTCGGGTCTTTGTGCTTATAACACAGGTGGCGGAACCACTGAGCTAAATCCCTAGCCCATGTCTTTCAGAGTTAAATGTGATGTACAAATCATCTTTACGGTATTAGATTATTATGAATTTGACTACACAGTTGTCTTTTCCAGTGAGTTTCATATTGCTACTTAGTGTCCTTTAATTTAAACTCAGAGAATTCCCTTTAGTATTTCTTTTAAGGTTGGTCTCATGGTGATGACATCCTTTAGATTGTTTATCTTGGAATATCCTTACCTGTCCTTTATTTCAGTAGGACAACTTTACCTTAGTATTGTTGTTTGGCATTTTTTTCTTTTAGCTAATACTTTAAATATGCAACCCTCCTCTCTTCCTGGTCTAAAAGTTTCCTTTATATGTGATTTTCTTTTCTCTTGCTACTTTCAGGATTTTGTTTTTTTGTTTGTTTGTTTGTTTTTTGTTTTGTTTTGTACCATGGATCAAATTTGGAACCTTACACTTGTGAGGCAGGCAGTGGAACCACTGAGCTAAATCCCTGGCCCAAGAGTCTTTGTTTTTGACTACTGACAACTTATTTCTATTATTTTTAATTGATCTAGCCTGGAGTCCCATGGGCTTCATCCATAGCCATCTCATGGTTTGAGATTTTTTTTTTTTTTTTGGTTTTTTGAGACAGGGTCTCACTGTATAGTTGAGCCTGACCTGGAACTCACTATGTAGCCCAGGCTGGTCTTGAACTCACAGCGATCTTCCTGCCTCAGCCTTCTGAGTGCTGGGATTACAGGTGTGCACCACCACGCCTGCCCAAGGTTTGAGAATTTTTAAAATAGTTTTTTTTGGGGAGGGTATCAGGGGTCGAATTAGGACCTTGTGCTTGTGAGGCAGGTGGTGGAACCACTGAGCTAAATCCCTGGCTGTATGATAGTTTTCTTTAAATAAGCTTTCTTCCTCTTTTTCTCCTCCTTGTGCTTCCATAATTTTTATGTGCATGTTTGATGGTATCTGATACTTTCCCATACTTTCTGCAAAATTTTTCAGTTTTTTCTTTAACTAAATAGTTTCAAATAACTTGTCTTTGAATTCAATACTTCTTTTTTCTGCATGATGGGAGTCTGCTGTTCAAGGTCTCTAGTGGACTTTTTTCAGTTTTCCACTGTATTTTATAGCTCCTGGTTTTGTTTGGTTCTTTTTTAATGGTTTCTATTTTATTAAGATTCCCATTTTGTTCATATATTGTTTTCCTACTTTCATTTACTTCTGTATTTTTCTGCATCTCATAAAGGCAATTTACTATATATTTCCATTTCTTTAGTTTCCTTTGGTGGTGTCATGTTTGCCTAAGTCTTTGCTATTCGTATGGCCTTTTACTGGTGTCTGTGCATTTGAAGGAGCAAAACCTTCTTTCAACCTTTGCAGACTGGTTCTAGCAAGCTAAATCTTTACTGTTAGGTCTCTGGGATCATAGTACAGTGGTGTCTCAGTTCATGAATGCTTTTGTTTGTGAACAATTCGGTTTGCAGAGTATTTGGCAAAATTCTGTTTTTGTTTGCAAATTCTGCATCTAGTGACAACAAAACCACAGCTATGCTTTCCACAAGAACATGAATGTGACCAACCTTTCCAGAATTATGTAATGAATTAAGTTTGTGAACTGAGGTACCACTCTACTGCTGTCTCTCGGATGGTAGTACAGTGGAACAGGATCTAAGTCACACAGCTGTCCACAATGGATACTGCAGTTTGTGGGTCTTTAATAGGAGCTCTAGCAGATATGGATCCTATCTTGTCCCTGTGAAGCACAGAGTCTCCAAGACTTTAGTCCATGGTGCTACTACTATGAAGATGGTTTGTTCCATGGTTTATAGATGGGTGCACCTGCTACCAAGTATGCTGACAGATATGGCTTTTTCTGCCACTTCCCATCAGATTACTGAGTAGGCCAATGGGTGGCTCCCAAGGCAGGCTTTCTGTAGTCCACAGGGAGGGGTGCTGTAATCAAGTCAGGGTTGTTTCAGGGGAGACCAAAATCTTCTTGGATTACAAACATGTGTGTCTCCTGCAAGGTTCTTGGGTGGGTAGGCCTGCTCTCCGACTACCAATGAGAAGGGCTGGAGCTGATATATAGGGCTGATTAAAGATTTACAATGGGAATGAAGTGAATCAGCAGGGATAGTGTATAGCAATGTTGTGATTTATGGTAAACATTTAATTTTGTATGCCTTGGTCTTTAGGCTAAGCTATAAAATTTGACCTCTAGAAAGGGCTGAACACTGAGTTATCAAAGGTCAGTCCCAGTTATGGTTTAAACCCAGAATGTCCCCTCAAAGCCTCATGTGTTTAGAATTGGGGATTGATTAGATCATGAGGGTGCTATACTCATGAAGCTGAGTGATTCACTGATAATCCATGACTGAATATGGTATTAGGAAGCGAACCCTGGTTGGAGGTGGGTCACTGGGTGTGACCTGGAGAAGTATATTCTTGTTCCTGGCTTCTCCCTTTGTTCTCCACTTCCTGGCCACCATGGGGTGGGCAGCTTCCTCCAGCTTTTGCTATATTTCTGCCTTGGAGTCAACCAACCATTGACCAACTCCTCTGAACACCATGAACCAAAATAAACCTCTCCTTTAATGTGCAGGTATTGACAATTTTGTCCCAGTTATGAGAAACCTGACTAATATAGTCACAGTCACAGTTATGCAAGTGACCCTGTATAAAAACTCTGAACACCAAGCCCTGGAAGATTTCCCTTTTTTGGAAACACATCATTATATGTTGTCACATACTGCAAGTAATGGTTAGTATCTGTATGACTCAACCAGAAGAAAACTGGTAACTTGAACTTGGGTTCTGCTAGACCATTTCCCTTTGCTGATATTAATTTGAATCCATTTGTTATAATAAACTATGAACATAATAGCTTTTCTTTTCTTTTTTTTTTTTAAACCGGGGATATAACTCAGGCCTTTGTGTTTATAAGGCATAATAGCTTTTCTAAATTCTGAATCTTAGTGAATCATTAAACTGGAGGGTAGTCTAGGGGACCTCCAACTCAGAGGGGAATAAAGATTCTCAGTCAAAGGATGTTTCTGGGGGGAAAAACAGATGTTTCCATTATGACAAGTATCAGTTAAAAAGACAGGAATGCTTTACTAGTGTCTATCTTTTTTTTTTTTTTTTTTGGTACCAGGGATCAAACTTAGAACCTCGTGCTTGCAAGGCAGACAGTGGAACCAATGAGCTAAATCCCTGGCCCCTGAGTGTCTATCTTAAAGCAAAGCACTATGTAAGTGCTTCACATGTAATCCCATTTAACAATGAAACTACCACGTAAGTATTATTCTGTCTAATCTTTAGATGTATAAACCAGGGGTCAGTGAAATAAAGTGACCTTCAAAAACTCACATAGCTAAATAAATAATGCCAGGATCCAAATCTAAACCTTCTGATTCTTCATCTCTAAAGAATTTTCTTGGCTACCTCTGTACTGTCAACAGTATAAAAGACAGTACAAATATTCAATAAACATTTTAAACAAAATAAAAGTATTTCCTTGTGAAAAAGAAATAAGGAGTATAAGAGAAAAATAAAGGAAAGAGCAACAAAGAAATATTCCACAAATAGTTGCTTTTTAAATATCTACTAAGATTGGTTGGTTGGTTGTGGTCAGCATAAGGGACAAGGAATAGGGAGAAGAGAAAAAGAGAAAAGATGAAAAGATAAGGGGGAAGAGATTTTGTAAGGTAGAGGGACAGTATAGCATATTGGACACAACAAAACATACAAACATCAGGACAAATGACATATACTGTAGCTTATTTGTTTGCAAAATCTGGAAGTAAGATTTTATAGCCAAGGGACTAATTACCTTGAAAAAGATAAAAAAAAAAAAAAAAAAAAAAAAAAAAAAAAAAATTCTCCTAATCATTTTGTTTTGTTTCTTACACACTCTAATGTCAGTTAAACAGATCTTTAGTAATAAAGAAGAAACAATTTACTTTTAAGGGAGATTACCTTAGTGGTAGAAAATATTTTTGATTACTTTTTGTGCTTAACAAAAGCAATGACTGTAACATCGCAAATTAATTTCATTTAATGCTTATGCAGAGAAAGACTGCCTTGAGACAAAAGACCTTAGTTATTAAAGTTGTATTAAAGAGATCTGGTGAAACTTCAAAAAGTTAATATTCTTCTGAATATATTTCTATAACTTAAATATAGTATATTATAACTTGTCAACCATTACTATGTTCTTTTTTTATTATCTTTACTACCTCTTGAACAGTTCCTCCCTGGATATCATGGGTGTTCTACTTTAGATCTAAAAGGTCCCTCAAAGACTCATGGGATCAAAGGTGGGGCTTTAGGAAGGCCCTGGATCACTGAATCCCTCCAAACTATAAACCAAGTTAAACTTCTCATCCTTGAAGCTGTGTTAAGTATTTTGTCCCAGTCACAGGAAAGCTAACAGGTAAGACAAATCTAACTATTTTTACATTTCAGAGACATAAAATATAATTACCTGCTTTTCTTTATTAACTCCAGACATGAAGAGTTGTTTGTATTTGTCCTTAAAAGCAAAGTTTAGAGCTTGCGTTGGAAAATATCGGATAACATTTGCCAGATTGCCTCGCCAATAACTGAAGAAACCTACAAAAGGAAACATACATACATACATATATATATATATATACATATATATATATAAACCCACATTGCATTGTTATTAAGGAATTTCCAGTTTTAGGGCTGGGGATTTAGCTCACTGGTTCCTTCATCTGCCTCACAAGCACAAGGTCCTGAGTTTGATCCCAGTACCAAAAAAGAAAAAAAACAAAAAAAAAAAGCACATTTTTTTGGTACCAGGGATCTAACTCCGGTCCTTGAAAAAAGTTTTCTAAAATATGCGTGTCTTCACAGAAGGAAGAAAGGCAGTGTTAACTGTATGCAGTCTACTGCAATTAGTTAAATTTTCAAAAAGCCTTGAATACTTAAAAATTCACAGAAAGCATTAACAATTGAATAAATTGATTTAAGAGTAGAAAAACACAGTGTACTAAGATTTGACAGAAGCTAGTAAAAGTCAGCCTTATTCCAAACCCTGATGTACAACTCCTATGATGATAAGGCTGTTATAAGTGAGTATGGTGGAAAGAACAAATGTAAGTCCTTACTGGTTTGTACATATACCTATGAGAATGATAAAAGGATTTTAAAAAAGCTAAAGTGCCTTTGTTTTTATATCATGGAACCATTTTTTTTAAGGCAGAGAGGGTTACTTTTTTCATGATGTTCTGGAACCATTATAAATGGGGGCTGGAAATTTAGCCAGAAAAGGGATCTACTTCAAGGCAGTTTCCAGAAGCCTGAAAAATATTGGAAAAAAAGTAAGGTCAACAGTCTTGCCACTTCAAGTTTTCATGGATTGACAACTGCACAATTCAGTCATTGTGTAACTGTTGAAATTTAGAACTAGGCTTATGTTCCAGAATGAAACATTACCTCACATCTGTTAGAATAGCTATTGAGAAACAAGAATCCTTATATAATGTTGGTGAGGATGTAAATTAGTATAGCTCTTTTGAAAATCAATTTGGATGTTACTCAAAAAGCTAAAAATGTAACTACCCTATGATCCAGCAATCTCATTACTGGATATATATTCAAAGGAATTGAAGTCAATATATCGATGGGATATCTGCATTTCCTTGTTCCCTGCAGCATTATTCACAATATCCAAGATACAATATCAACCTATGTGTCCATAAACAGAAGAATGGATACAGAAAATCTGGTATGCTTGCACAATGAAACACTATTCAACCTTTTATTTTTTTAGTATTTTGGTACCAGGGATCAAACTCAGGTCCTTGCACTTGCGAGGCAGGTGCTGGAACCACTGAGCTAAATCCCCGTCCCAACAACCTTTTAAAAGAAAATTATGTCATTTACAGTATGTGTGAATCTTAAGAACATCAGGGTGAGACAGCCAGGCATAGAGACAAATGCTGCATGATCTCACTTATATATGGAATCTAAAAAGGTTGAACTAATTTAGTGTTAACTCAGTTCACAAACAAAAATGGCAAAATTTTGTTTTTGCTGGCAAACTACACTGGGTGACAAACATGACTGTGGCCATCGTCCTTACAAACACAAAAGTTGCAATCTTTTCCAAAACCATGGAACAAATTAAGTTCATGAGCCAAGGTACCACTGTACCACAGAAACAGGGTAGAATGGGAGGTACTAGAACATGGAACTAATTTCTTGGTCTTACTGTGCTTATATTTTAAGGGAAATGGGCCAGAAAGACAGAAAACGAGTATTTCTGACAGGTATAATAACAAAGCAAAATAATAAATATATGGACACAGGAAATGATAAAGAGGTAGTCAAACAGGGTTTTCAGGGAAAACTTAAAATGTTAGTTGATACTAAAACTTAACTGAGCATTTATTTGAGGTATTTTGCTTCAGGTATCTTGCTAGTCATGTTTCAAACTATAATTTGCTATTACCCTAAAACACAAGGAAGGAGAGGTTCATTCTTGAGAACAATATTTATGAATCTGTATTTCAAGGAGTCTTATCTCAAGTCTGATCAAATCATCATCATTTCTACATCGAATGACCAAGTAATTAGAGTAAATGGAATCAGCTGTTATTTTTCATTCTTTGTTTTTTGGCTATGTTCTTTTCTTGTGGTTCATTTGATAGGTAGTATTATACTCAATTTGCTCTGTTTTGGAAGAATCTTAAAAGTTTTGCTATATTTTGATGATTTAATTAGAACTTGATAATAGAATCTATAAAACGACTAATTGGGTAAACATCCTCAGGATGTAAAGAATGAGATAAAGAAGATAGAGAACATATACTGTGTCTTCTGAGATCTCATTTCACATTTCCTAAATAAAGGAAGTCAATAAAATTAGAGAATATTAAAAAACAAGAGAAACTTTAGAACAATTGAGATGAACATGTGTTCTGATTTTCAAAAGTGACAGAGAAGGCAAATTCCAGAAAATATAATCTCTAACCATACATAGATTCTGACTAAAATTCCAGAATCATCTGGCATGGTTATTCTCAACCCAATCGACTCAACTCCTATAAGCAATATTTTATTCCTTTTGATAACCAGAAACAGAACAGTCATTAACCACCATGTCAAATTTTATAAAAAATCAAGATAATGCCCTCAACTGTCATATATACAGAAATGAAAGGAATTCACTTATTTTAAGGAAATAAGGAAGTTTTTATTCCTAAATTAAGGAAATAAGAAATTCAAAGGAATTATTCATTTTGATAAGTAAATTGGAGGGCTTGGGATTTAGCTCAGTGGTGCTGCCACCTGTCTCGCAAGTGTAAGGACCCGAGTTTGATCCCCAATACCAAAAAAAAAAAAAAAAAAAAAGTACATTCATTGGTGAGCCATCACCATGTTACAGGTAAGACATTCAAATACCTTCTTTGTTTCTACTTATAATCAATCTGTTGTAATTAAGACACACTGAACTCTGACACAGGAGTACCACAAATTTAAGCCTGGGCAATTTAGCAACTTAGTGGGACTGTATCTCAAAAAGAACAGGTTGGGTAAGTAGCTCCATGTAAAGACTGGTTTCAATTCCCTGTTTAAAACACACACACACACACACACACACACACACACACACAGACACATGCACGCATGCACACACACAATACAAAGACATCAACATTTAAGAAGGGCTTACTTAGTAAATACATTTGGACATTTACACAAACAATAACTGTGAATGAAGTTACGACAAATATAGATGATATAACAGGTAAAGAAATGTTAAAAGTACAGCTGCTTAGTTTGCACAGTGAAGATCAACTCTTAGTAAAATTCTGAACAAAATTGTAATTTTCCCTCTACTTCCATACCTGGTTGTTGTAATACTGGAATCAGTGTATAAAGCTATGTTCCAGACAGTTTGCATTTCTAAGTAATTTAGAATTAAGTGCTAGGGTTAGATAATCATAAACAGGCTTTACTGATATTGGGGGATTGGACCCAGGGCCTCATGTACACTAGGCAAGTGCTTTACTGCTGAGCAACATTCCCAGACCTTCAACTGTTATCATATTTAGCTTCTCTCAGTAGATGAATCCTACTTCGTGGGAAAAAAATAAAAGGCATTTCTCTCCTATATCAAAGTGAATGTTGTTTGTCTTTCTCTTCTACCTCAATAGTGTCCCCGTTCTTTCCCACAGCTAATTCTACAAATTGTTCTGTACTCTCTGGCTCTGCCTGTCGCCTGTCCATTCTTGTTCCAGTGTTTGCTTGCTCTCTTCTTCTCTTTGTGGCCAAACTTTTAAAAGGATAGTCTGTACTATTGTCACTACTACTTCACCCCTAGTGAATTATTCAGTACCATATATTGAGCTTTGAAGTATTTCACAATGTGTTTTTCAGTAAAATAAAAAAATTTTTTAAAATAGGCTTTACTGCTACACTAATAGCCAGTGGAAGATATAAAAGCATTCAAGTTGCAGGGAAAGCAAGTCTTATTGTGTAGGACTGGACTGTGCCTAGCAATAGATATGTAGAACATTTCTGGTCCTTGCATTTCCTATCAATGCAATTTAGGATTATAACCTTCTTTGTACTAAAGAAACTTCCTCTATACATTTGCAAAAGTGCCTCTAGATGGCAACATTATTCTTGTTGTGAATCACAGGCTTTAGCATAGGCTGTACTGCAGTGCATATGTAGCAATGCCTTTATACATTAAAAACAAAATATTTTAAAGTTCTGCTTATGATTATCTCACCTTAGAAGTTTAAAAAAAAGCAGAGATTAGAAGAATATTTACCATTAACTCAAATTAACAGAAGAGTCATACTATGTTTTAGTTTAAACAGTTGTTAAAAAAAAAAAACATTTAAGCCGGGCGTGGTGGCAAACGCCTGTAATTCCAGCACTCGGGAGGCTGAGGTAGGAGGATTGCTGTGAGTTCAAGACCAGCCTGGGCTACACAGTGAGTTCCAGGTCATTCTTCTCGACTACATAGTGAGACCCTGTCTAAAAACAAAACAAAACAAAACAACAAAAAACATTTAAATTACAAAGTAAATATAGCACCTGTTAGCACCAACTGAATATTTCACTTTATCTGACTAAGTAATGCAGATGATCTAACAATAAAAAGGCCTGTATTTCTCTGAGGGTCTTAAAATAAATACAGGCCAAGGATTACTGTAAAAGCCTTGGGACACTTACTTGGATAAAATGAGTAAGAAGCAAACCACTTGCTATGAAGTATCTGAATTTAGCTCCCAGATGGGGATTCTAAAAGGAATTTGCCTTAAGGCTGTACCCTAACCAGTATCAACACAAAATTCTAACCAACAAATCAGAAAAAGTTGTAACATCCCTAGGGAGAAACTTTTTTTCTTTTCCTAAAAGCCAGGGATCTTGCTATGCTGCCCAGTCTGACCTGAAACACCCTGGCTCAAGTGATCCTCTTGCCTTAGTCTCCCCAGTACCACAGCTCAAGCCTAACTACAAAAAACTGCTTTTTTATGGGAGAGGATCCTACCCTAGACCTAGGAGTACAACAAAAGATTGCGCTAGACTTGAAGGCACTTCATTTCTTGTTTAAAATACAAAATAAATAGGTCTATTTCCTTTTTAAGTTCCAATATATGAGTGATACAAGATTTCTGATTAGGGGCTGGAGATTTGGCTCAGTAGTTCCGCCGTCTGCCTTGCAAACGCAAAGGCCCGAGTTCAACCCCGGTACCAAAAAAAAAAAAGTGTACTACAAGATTTCTGATAAACTGATCGCTTTTGCTAATTTAGGAACTACTTTTGGCAACTGTTCACAAAGTGCTTTCCTTATTTCCTCAAACCATTTCAATATTAGTGGGAAAAATTAATATTCAGCAGCGTGCTTAATGACATCTCCCTCAATTATTGGGAGTTCAGCTATTTCTGGGCCAGTCACAGTCCAAGTGTACCAAAATGTCAATCGTGCTGCAAAAGAAATTTAGGGAAACAGACGACGGTCTCGTCTTCAAGAGACTGGTTAGGTTTAAAGCCTTTTTGGCCCTGGTAAAGCCGAGCCTAGGGATGATAAAGTAACGAAGTTCTGGAAGGTAAAGAAACATGGCTAACAGCCGTGGCCATGAGCCCCGCCATCATCCCCCTTGTGGTCATCTCCTTGCTCTGGGAAGCTGAGGGAGAGAGGAGAGGCGGTCCGGGCCTCACGTACGCACCCTGCTCTCGAGGAATCCGCACCAGGCAGTCCACCATGCCTTTGTACCGCGCTTCGGGGCTGATCTGCTTCAACGACGCCTGCACCTGCAACAGCAACTTCACACGCTCGATGGGCGCCACGGCTGTCTTGGACACGGCCGCCGCGAATCCGCCGGCCAGCAGATCCTTCCCGAAGGACGCGGCGTCAAACAGCCGCTTTTCTGCCTTCTTCTCCGACTTTTTCTTAGCAGGCTCACGCTGCATTGTGGGGTGAGGAATTTAAAATCCCACAGCAGTAGCTTAAAGTAACGCTGAGAAGAGACGGAAAACCTAGCCAAGCAGGAAACCACATCAGCTGTTTCCTGGCGGCAAAGTGGCGCTAAGGACACTGGGAGGCAAGCTCGCCAGGAAGGCTCCTCCCACATCCGGGAGCTGCGCAGGCGTCCAAAGGCTTTCGTGCTGATTCCTGACACGTGACTGCCGACACGTGGCTCCTGGCTGGTGGCTCCTAGGCTGCGTACTACACTCACGCACACACATTTAGGCGCATTGGCTCTGTTCCTGGTATGCAGGGTCGGGAGATGGCAAGCTCTGAGAGAGAACAGCGCAGAAAGAGCTCAGAGTGGGTTGTGAGGAAATTTAGCAGCCGAAACCAGAACAGAGCACCAAGTCAAGCAAATAGGAACAAATATGATTTTAATTCCCCTTTACCTTTTACTTTCTGTTGGAAATATCTTTTAATTTAGCAGGGGTTATTGTCTAGTCACTTTCTCATTAGCTTTAATGGTTGCTACTCCACTAAAATAATTCAGTGTGTTTTTGTTTTTTGTTTTGCTTTGTTTGAGACAGGGTCTCACTATGTATTCCAGGCCTTGAAGTCATGTAGCCATGGGTGGCCTTGAACTAACAGCGATCCTTCTGCATCAGCTTCCTAAGTGCAGATATTACAAGTGTTCACCACTATACCCAGCCCTATGTATCATGGCATAACCTGATGTTATCACTAGCAAAAAACGCCATGTAGGCCAGGAGTCTACACAAGGAATCTTTTTAATATTTTGATTACCTTATATGAAACCCATTGGCAAGTTCTGTTAGCATGTACTGTACTTGAAGTTGATTCCTTTCCACACTTGTTTGGTCTTACTTTTTTTTTTTTACTGGGGATTGAAGTTAGGATCTGTCCCAACAGCAACCTCTTCCCTGGCCACCTTATTTACCATACTTCACCTCCCATTTTCTTGCTTTACTAACTTTTGTTAGCATTTTAATTTTGTGTTGGTGTTTACTTATCTTTTCTGTGGTCTGCCTCTGCCATTGGAAGATAAATTCCATGAGGGATGGAATCTAGAGCTATTTTGTTCATTATTATATCCTAGCATGCAGAGCACTGTTTGGCAGAGAGTAAAAATTCAATAAATATTTGTTGGATGTATGCATGAAAAGGCAACACAAATGCAGACAAGTTTCCAAACCATTTTATTTAAAACTTTTACACAGTATAAAAATAGCTCTAATTATATAGAATATTGAAATAAAGCTCTACAAAATTAAATTATTTTTGTAGCTATAGATAAACGGTTAAGGTTTACCTTAACAGGTTGAAGGTTTAATACCACTTAATGTTTTAAAATACTCAAATCCTTGTTCTCAAAACTGGTTAGTGATGAATATTATTTCTCAGTTTCTTTCCAACACAATATACAGCAGCACATATGGTTTAGCGGACTCCCTTGGTTTTCACCATTGTATATTACTAGTAAGAGTAATAGCTAACACTTTCATAGCACACAATAGAACACAACAAACAAGAAATAATGTTCAAGAAATAATGTTCAAAGAAGACAAACAGTAAATTGGTCTTACAGCTTTCTTCATTTATATTAGACATAGAGTAGTAGCAAGTACTACAAAATTACTATCGTGTCAGTATACATCATCATCAATAGTCCTTTGGCACAAGAAATGTGCCCTTGCTAGGTAGAGTTCTCTGACATGACAAAAACAAAACTTAAACAAAGGGGAAGAGAAAAAGAGGAGAGAAAAATGTAATCTAAAATGTAATTCTCTAAGACTAAAAAATGTCATAGAAAGTACTTGATAATTAAAAAAATGCTAGTTACACATATTTTTTCAAGTAGTCTTTGGTGGGAGAGAAAATTAAAAGAATGCTAATAAAATGTCCTTGGGGTATCTACATTATCACTTTTCCCCTAAAGACTTTGTAAAGTAATAAATGGCTGCTTTATTGTCTAATAATGAGACTGATTTTCAGATGTAAATTTCAATATATTTGGAAAGACGGTCAGCTAAATTTACTTATAATGCCTTCTTCAGTGTTCATTTAGAGATGAAAAGCAAGATGTTTAGTTTTACTTTTAAAGAATGCACTACTAACTGGAGGTGGTGGTACATGCCTGTAATCCCAGCACTCTGGAAGTGTGAGGTAGGAGGATCACAAATTCAAGCTCAGCCTGGGTGGGCAACTTAGCAACTTAACTAGACTCTGTCTCAAAAAAGAAAAAAAAAAAAATTAAAGCTGGGACATAGGTCAATGAGTAGGTCCCAGGTTCTTTACCCTCTTTAGCTCAGCCTGGGTGGGCAACTTAGCAACTTAACTAGACTCTGTCTCAAAAAAGAAAAAAAAAATTAAAGCTGGGACATAGGTCAATGAGTAGGTCCCAGGTTCTTTACCCTCTCCCAGAAGCAATGCCTCTGGAACATGGAAATTACATTACATATGTACAATATAGCAAATGATCTTCCTTTTGTTAAGAACAGCAGTCTACTTTGCATTTTATTTCAGTCACTAAGTGGAGGACTCATGTTTCTTTGATGCCAGGAAAGTATCAGCAGATCAAAATATTAAATAAAGCCAAAAGTTCCCTATATTAAAATTCCAAGTCTTAATTCTGTCAGTGAAAACCTGAGGTGACCAACAGTTACACTGAATAATTATTAGTATTAGAAGTAGCTCCTGGTGTTTCGGGGGCCATATCCAGGATTTTAAGACATTTAATAAATACATTTAAACAAAGTACCTTAATACAAATATATGTACACATAAGACAGTAGAATACCACTTATTCAATATTGTGATCTTAAGAGAAGGATATTTCAAGTTATATATCTATAATAGTTCAAGAACTAAAGTATTTTATCCTAACGTGGATATCAAAATTAAGGCCCACAAGTCATTAATGAAAAAATGTGCTGTGGTTTACATCTTAAACACCCAGGTAACAATCTCTTAAACTGATGACAGGGGGATAATATTGCTTCTAAGACCAAGCAACTCAAGTGTTGCATCTACTGGGTCTTGCAGCTAGTTCAAACTAGCGGACTTTTGTGAGGGGGGAAATGTAGAGATTGATTTTAAATTGGCTGGTATAATTTATCTTCCAACATATAAGTTCTGAAGAATAAACAACCCATACTGCAAAGTTTTGAGGGAATATAAGTCTGCAGGAGGATCCCTTGGGTAACTATCAATTAAAAATGCAGTATTTGTTTTAGTCTTCCTTTCCCTTAATCTACCAAATTTTCAACCAATTAGTTTTCTATTAAAAGTGAAATAAACTATTATTCATTAAAGTGCTCCCCCTTTAGAAAAACCTGATACATAATGATCCATATTTATAAGGTAAAACCTATTATTTTACCAAAGAATGTGTTTTTTAAAGATTTACGTACAACCTTCTGAAAACTCATGAACCATCTAAAATGTGTCTATCTGAATGCACTTCAACAAAAAAGAAACAATGAAAGTTTTTAAAATATACATCCTAGTAAAAATCGAGTTTACTTAGAAGAGCACACAGAATCAAATAAATAAAAATTAAATTTACTTTTTATCTTTCCCATATTCCCCTGCAGTTGAGGTATCTATTAAGACATTTTAATGAATTTGATCTGTTAAGAAATCAGTACATGGACATTACAAATTTAGGTACTGACCAATCGGCAAGGAAAAAAAAAAGGATTTTTTTTTTTTTTTTTGGTTTTTTTAGACAGGGTCTCACTATGTAGTGAGACTCTACCTGGAACTCACTATGTAGCTCAGGCTGGTTGCAAACTCACAGCGATCCTCCTGCCTCAGCCTTCTGAGTGCTGGGATTACAGGCATGCGCCACCACGACCAGCCAAGAGGATTTCAAAACCTCAATGCAATAACCTCACCAGTACATGAAAACTCTGAGCTCAGAAAAAACAAATGTGTCACCACACTGATTAATTACAGAACCTGGTCACCTCCTCCCAAAACCATAATCCTTTCACCAGATACCAATTCGTTTTGAGAAAAATAAACAACAAATTGGGTTTTTCCCCATAATAAATATTTCCACTATAAATTTTACATGAAACACTTCACATTATTTCAAATTAGACAATTAATGAACAATATGTACCAAGATAGCAATAAATTAATAATCCCTTCATATTTTATCATCTCACATTGATTTGATGCATTAAATTCAACAGCACTTCATCTTAATATTTAACAAAATAATACCTAATACTGAACAGTGAAAGGCTAAACCTTTCCTGCGGATCAATTTCAGCAATTCTAATACTATTCTATGCTCATAGAAACATGCACATTACTACAAGGTTAATCCAAAGAACAATTTAAAAGCCATTTCAATGGCAATTTCTGTAACCGAGTCATGAAAACAGACATAAAGTTCCTGAGGTTTTGGATGAAGAAAGAGTCTCCTGCAGAAAAAAAGAACACATTCATTTCAGAAATTAAAAGGAGAAAAAAAACCTTCCAATTTATTTAATTTTTTTTAAAGTAGTGGCAGTAAATTTTTAAAAAGTACACTAATTTACATCTTTAAAGGAGAATGCAGCTAGATTTATTATTCTTTCTTTCTTTCTTCTTTTGGGGGGATACTGAAGATAAAATTCTGGATCTTGCGCTTGTGAGGCAGGTGGCAGTAGCACTGAGCTAAACCCCGGCCCTGATTTATTTATTACTAAATAAACAGCATGCGCCTTAAGTCAGTGAGGGTGGATCTTTTAGAGACAGAGTGCCAAACTGCAACCCAAAATGCATTTACTGATTGCAAAGTGCCAACACTGCAGTTAAACCTGGACACTGACATTTTAGTTTAGAAAAAATCCTCATACATTAACATCTTTTGTCTTGACCCAGCTATTCCCCTGCTGGGTATCTTCCCTAAAGAATTAAAAGAATCACACTACAGTGATATATGTGCACCCATGTTCATAGCAGCACAATTTGTAATAGCTAAAACTTGGAAGCAGACCAATTGCCCATCAACAAGAGAGTGGATAAAGAAAATGTGTGTTCATTTTTTTTTAATAAAATAGAATACTATTCAGACATAAAAAGAGAAATTAGAGACATTCATAGCTAAATGGATGCACACTGAGGTGAAACTCAAGTGATATCAATAGGACACACATGTGTAAATACCGAATAGTTTCTCTAGTGTGAGAAACTGGAAGTGTAAATAAAGACTAAAAGATATAATAGATCATGTGAAATAGGAAGAAAAGGGACAAAGGGAAAGGGGAAATGGGAGGGGTAGGGAAAAGGAAGAAGGGAATGGAATTAATATGAGAAAATGAAAAACAATGGAAACAAAGTCTTTGTAGAGAGGAGGGGTTGGAGGGGTTGAAGGGAGGACAGGGGAATAGGGAAAAAAGAAGAACCAAGATTGATTATGTAAAGGTACAAATTCCCAACAATGAATGTCATTATATTGTATACATTAAATGCACCAATAAAATTAATTAAAAACCCCATACCATGTGTCATAGGTTCACCAATACTTTATTTTTATAAAGTAATATAAAAAGTATAAAAATCCTGCTTTACCAACTCATAATACCATATCCTTAATTTTTAAAATATTAACTCTATTACAATCAACAGTATCAGTATCAAGTAAAATAGTAATTAAATATTTTATTGCCACTTTCTAAAGTTTTATTATTATTAAAATGTTAAATATATGGTGGCTCAGTCATAGATCTGGGATTAACATTACATTTTTGTTATTGCAATGAGTTAATTTTTTAATGTATTTAATCAAATACATTTAAATTGGGGGGTAGTTCTAACTTCCTTGAAATTTCTTTTATGTTTATAGAACTACACCATTATAATTCAACACCTTTTTTTTTTTGGTACCAGGGATTGAACTTGGGCCCTTGCGCTTGCAAAGCAGGCGGCAGAACCACTGAGCTAAATCCCTGGTCCTCAACACATTTTGATTCTTTCTATTGTGAGCTTAATCAAAGCTCTACTGAACACCTGCATAAGTGTCTAACATCGTCTCATTTCCACTTTCTCCTCTGTCCACACCATCCCATTGGCTGTTCCCAGCTTAATCTTCCAATAGCACAGCTCTGATTACACTATACAGAATTAAGCTTATACTGATCACAAGTCTGGTGGGTTACGGATCACAATCATAGGAGAGGTAACTAAAAACAGATTCCTACTCCCAGAGATTCTGATACTGGTACGTCTGATGCCTTAGGTATCTCTGATTCTCCCTAACTTCATAATGCGGATTGAACCCCAGGAGGCTGAGCTATATCTCTAGGTCTTCTTTATTATTTTAAGACACGGTCTTGCTAAAAAAATTTTTTTTTGGGGGGGGTACCAGGGATCAAACTCGGGCCCTTGCACTTGCGAGGTAGGCAGTGCTACCACTGAGCTAAATCCCCCGCCCCTAGTCTTGCTAAATTGCTCAGATTTGCCTGGAACTTGTGATCCTCCTACTTTAGCCTCCCACGTGGCTGAGACTACAGGCATGCACATCACTAATTTTAACAAGTGACTCAGGTAATTTTAACTCCCAAGGACTAGCTTATAGGAATTACCACTTTGGATAATATTTGTGAAGTGTCTTTCATACAGCTTAATATTACATGGTAGATGTCTTTTAATTTTAGTCCTACTTAATTCTGTGCCCTTGCCTTTTTAGTTCTTTATTGCAACTTGAATCTTTAGTATCTCCCTTAAAATTCAATTCTTTAGACAGTAAGCAAACAAGAAAATAATAAAAGGTTGACAGAGAATAACTGAATAAATAAATATTTAATGGGGGGAAGAGACTGTGGAACCTCTGATGACAACTTATTAGCCCTACTCTGAATATCAAGGGGCCAGATATGCAAAGGTTAAGGAGTAGAACATCCCATGAAGAAGGAACAGAAGAAATAAGACTTGACTGGTGGCAAACTAAAGGATTCACAATGGACAGAGGAGGAGAGGGACAGGGGACAGAGGAGAGAGGTGGGCAGGTGTCAGGCCGGGCTGGGTCTTGTTGGGAGAGGGAGAGGAAGGGAAAAAAGACAAATGGAAGAAAAGAGGAAAAGAAAACAGGATAGAGAGAAGGAAGAGAGGATAAAGGAAGTCAAGAGGGAAAGAAAGAAACTGGAGAAAAATTGTGGAGTTACTTTGTTACTAATTTTGTAAGATAACTGAAAAATACTTTCTTAATAGGAGATAGGAAGGACTTAAACTTAGCAAATAAAATTATAAAATATATTAAAACATTGTAGATAGAGCAATAATTTCATGCTGTTATAACTTGTATCTAGATGTCCCCAAAGCCTCATATATTCATAGGTGGGACTTTTGGGATGGCTGGATCTAGTGTGTGTGAGTGTGGACTAAGGGTGTGGAAGTATGGATTAAGGGTGTGATGACTAAATTAGCCCACTGATTGGTTCATCATAGTTTGGGGTATGGATGGGAAGCCCCATCCTGGGTGTGGGTATTACCACCCAAAACGTTTGTAGCCTGAATGAGATTAAAAAAAAAAAAAGGTAAACTTGCTGTTGCTGCTTCGCTTCCTGCCTGCCATACAATGAACTGTTTCTCCTTTGTGATGCCTCTTGCCACGCAACCCTGCCTTAGTGCTAGCTGATTATAGACTGAAACCTGTATAAAGTGTGAGCTGAAATAAACCTTTCCTCCTTTAATTTGTGGGTATTGAGTCTTAGTGATGAGAAAAGACACGCCTATATTTAAAAATCAATCTCCTTTATTACTTTCACTTTTCTAGCATTTTATTTTACTTTCAAGTGCTTTTTCCCTACTTACCCTACCACCCAGTAAGCCATAACTGGTGGTGTTTTCTTCTGATCAGTCCAGTTTTCAAGTGAGCATTCAAACAACACACCATGTTCTTTCACTGGATTCAAAGACATTGAATTTGTAGAATCCAAATGATCTGTGCCATTTAGTGCTTTCTTTTTCTATAAAGTAAGACATAATTAACTGGTATTAATAGTTACTTCAGAAATTTTTCATTGGCCAGGGGATTTAGCTCAGTGGTGCTACCAACATGCCTCACAAGTGCAAGGTGGTGAGTTTGATCCTGGTACCAAAAAAATTTCTTTTCATGCTTAAGATTGAATTGATGCTAATATGTAAGTGCCTGTGATGCCAATTACTCTCCCTCAAAATTTGGTTTAAATACTATTTTATGAAGGTTTCTTTAAAGGTCTCTTTTAGGGAACACTTAATTCACAACTCCATACTATTAGTATTTAGCTACATCACATTATCAGTGTATAGGTCCGTACTCTCCAGTACAAGAGAGAATTATTAAGTCTTTTTCCCAGGGCAGAAGCAATATACTTTTCATCTCTGTTTTTTCTTTCTTTTTGTATTGGGAATTGAACCCAGGGCCATCAATACTGACCTATATTCTCAGCCCCCCTCCCTCCCCTACTGTCACTCCCCGCCTTCCCCCTTCTGAATTCTACACAAATGTACTATCTCTTCCAGAAAAATGCCAGAAGTTTTTGTCATAGTCTCAGGCCAGGGTCAAGCTGGCCTTGCCACCCTTGAGATCTAATCACCTTTCACTCTCCTCTCAGACCACTCTAGAGTTCTCCTGGTCCTGCCTACTTCTTTGACTTTGCACTTGCTCTTCCCTTGTGTGGAGGCTGGGCCTCCAGATAGTCACATGGCTTAACTCCCTCACTCAGTCTCTGATTAAACATTACCTGAAGTGATCAGTGGAACCTTTGATTATAGTAACTCCTACCTCTTAGCCTTATTATGTTTAGTATTCCTCTTGACACTCATCCTACCTGACATAAAATTTGCTAATTTCCCAGTCCTCTCCATTAGAAAATAGGCTAAAGTTGTCAGTTTTGTTTTCTGCTTTTAGGACCTAGAATAGTGTACATACAGTACAAGGTAGGTACTCCAGTATTTAAAGAATATAGAGAAGGCTAATTTAAATAACTAAATATTGTGAAATAAACTAATGAAATATTCCCTCAAAGAATTGACCAGTTATATTAAATAGGGAAGGAGAAACATAACCCAAAGCATATGGGAGTACCTATTAAACTTAATCATTTTTGCTTAATAACAATTTCTGAAAACTTGAAGAAATCCTATATGGAAGAATTTTATTATTAAATAAGCCCCGAGAGATGATAGCATTTGCTTTGCTTATTTTATCACTGAGGAAATTGGTATAGAGTTAAGGCTAAATGTAGGATTCCTTATTCCCACCCTAAGTGTCTCACAGATTTCACATCCTTACACACATATTACTCTATACACTGATCCCATTGTCAAGAGTTTAGGGAGGAGGACTGGGGAGGTCTGGAGAGGGAGTGGATGTTTGACCAATTACTAGTAAAGTTCTACATATTTATCCTTTTCACAAAATCATCACCTGTTTTTCCCTGTCATCAAAATACCTTGATATTTTAATTATATACAGTATTACTATTTATCCAGAAGGTGCAATATTAAATAAAATTTGATCCTGGTTTGAAGAGCAAGTAAGCAATCGACCAAGTACTAAAATATCTGCAATAGTATTGCATCTGTAGCTATACCTCGACCCATCTTGTTCCAAAATACTTTATATTACTGGTTGAATACTTAATATGTTATCAGTGTTATTTTAGGAATGAACTACTAGATATTACTGACCAAGTAATGGTTTGGCCACAGATAATCAAACACAGAAGATTAATTTACTTACAAAATATATTCTACTTTGCTATAGAAAACATAGGCCTGACATTTCCTGGGGTAGTATTTTAGGATAAAATTTTGAGGTTCAGTACTGTGAGTATAATCCTTTTGGCACCCAAATTAGATTGCCTAATTAAGTGAAAACACTGCTGAACACACTAACTAGATAACAGAGTGTTTAGACATTTGGAAATGATCTTAGCAGAAAATTTTATCAGTAAACTGTATTTACCTCTTCTATCAATGTCTTTTGGAAAAGTGCACGAATGGAAAGACAACATTGATGGAAATTCTTTATTAGTTGAGAGTGCACAGAGCCACCTAGCTGTGCCATCTCTTCATGGGTAGGTGTAATGAAGATTCCTTGTACTGTTTCTAAGGCAACATAGTGGAAAAGGGTGTTCTCAGGACCAGATGTCAATCTTGGAAAAAATAAAGGGTGAGACAAAGGAAGAAAAAAAAAAAAAGAAATTTAAACTTATTGCTTCATTTTTAATTTTATACATTTCTTACAAGCTTTTATCTACAAGTAATTTGTACAATTAGCAAAGGGAAACTCTGACAAACATTTAAATCACTCCATGTCCTTAATTAACGTATAGGTAAGGATGATTATTAATTCTTTTAATGGAGACAAACACTACATTGGGTGAGAATAAACAGCAATTCATTTGCAAGTAACTTAATTATCCCTTTGCTAAACAACCCATATTGGCTAAGCCTCCCACTTTCCATGGTTAGTAATGAATAACTCAGTTCACATTGGGCTAGAAACCTTAACAAGGTATCAGTCTAGGATAGAACACATAAAAAATATCTTCCAGCAAACTGAACAAATTTAAATCAGTAGCATCAATTACCATGAGAGTAAATTTGATTGTCCTGAAGAAATATAAAACTATTACTACCAATTGCAAAGTCAGATTAATATTTTATAATACTGTGGAAAAACTAGTCGTATGCTACTACTTCTCTCCTATGCATTCTTACTATTTTCATTTTTTCTCCATCTTTTCCTCCCTTAGTTAATCTCAGACATGTCAACATAACTTATAAATACTGCTCATTTCTACCAGTAGTAACAAAAGCTAAAAAACAATAACAGCAAAAATAAAATAATAGTAGTTAACATATAGTGAATATCCTCATAGGCCAGGCTGTTTTAAAGTACCTTAGTTTAAATAACCCTGAGAGATATTAAATACTAATATCCTCATTTTAATGTGAGCAAATGTTTAATGGACTTGGATTAGACTGAGGTTGTATAACTAACTGCCAGAGCTTACCTGACTCTGAAGCTTGCTCTCCTATATCTTATTTTTTCCTCTCCACTGCTGGTTTTTTTATTGGCAGACTTTAAATACATAGACAGAAATTCTACAACTGCATCTCAGACACTCAAGTTGCCCATTCTAAGTCTTCTGTGATAAAAGCTATCGTTACTAAAAAATATTGGCAGCTGATTTTTTTCCCCCTCTCATCATAAGAACAAAAGGAAAGGCACATTTTATCTATTATCCTTGTTATTAACTCAATCATCCATGCTAGTTAAATTCCTGTTACCCAGTTAACTATGTAGAACGATCTGAATAAACCTCTTATCACTGAGACCAGAGTTAGAGGAGAAAGAAAATCTTCTATAAATTCTTCTCACACTGCTTCGCAGGGTAGCTAGCTCATTATCAACTGGTAGTTGGCATCTTTCAAGAAAGAAAAACCTAACTAATCAAGAAGAAATGAATTATAATGATTCAAAGAGGAGAATAATTTAAAACAGACATTTTAATTCAGAGGTCTTCAAATTCAAAAGGAGGTAAAAACAGAAATTCTTTTTAAAAAACCCTATTAATATTCTTTTGGTGGGAGGTTGGAAACAATATTTTTTTAATCTATATTTTCTTTCAAAAAATAAACCATAACAAAACAAACAAGTTTAGCTCTTGAAAATCACAATTGCTCAATGTATAGTAAATGAAACTTTGGGCCAGGGAGGGATTTAGCTCAGTGGTGCCACCGCCTCTTGCAAGCACAAGGATCTGAGTTTGATCCCTGATACCAAAAAACAAAACAAAACAAATCTAGTAACTGAAATTTTAAAAATCAGCAGGCCAGCAATTACATAGTAGGAAAACAAAAGATCTGTACCCAAGAAACCCAAAACCAAAAGCCAGCAACAAAAAACAAACAGTAGATAAAGCCAGATAATGGTTGCTGCTGCTGCTGCAGAGAAGGGATGTAAGGCGGACTGGGAACTGGGGGGCTGTTGCAATGGGAACTTGAGCCAAGGCGGTATCAACAGAGGCTGACTGGACTCAAAGGCAATGAAATCCAGAATGGGCAAGACTTGGTTACTGAATGAAATATTTGGTATGTATATATTATTTTAAATGCATTATATATTGTTACTTTATAAAAAATATGTTCATGTCAGGTAGGATACTATGCCATGTTTTTAAAATACATTACATAGTATGAAAATACCTTTCCATGTTAATGAAAATAAGTTCACACTTTTGGCATATCTTTAAATAGGATAGCCTATGAGTTACACCATATATGAATTTGTTTGAGCTACTGAACTTTAAAGAGATTTTGTATTATGCTACTAGAGATAATACCAAAAAAATATATACTTTAAAATATGATAAGGTAGTAAAATTTCAGAATAGTAGTTCCTGTTAAATTGAACACTCAAGTTTTATAAAGGTGTGTTATGGTTCCATAAAAGGTTTGATTCCGACTTTTCAAATACTTTTCATTATTAAAAGTTGAACATTCTAGGGCTGGGGATGTATCTCAGTGGTGCTGCTACCTGCCTTGCAAACACATGGTCCTCAGTTTGATCCCCAGTACCGCAAGAAAACAAACAAACAAACAAACAGACAAAAAAGTTGAAGTATTAAGTAAACCTAGTTTTGCCCTAACTTTAAAAGAAGTTTATTGGCAACTCTTATAAATTTGAACTTATAAAATATTTCAGTGTTAAGAAGTTAACAGGATGCAGTCTTTGTGTGTGAATTCCATTTGTACATATCCAATTGCTGAAGTAAAAGTGTCCAACTGAGTTTATCACAACAATTAATCCTACAAACAACATCATAATTAAGTATCAAGCAAGGCTCAGGCAGATCTGCTTGTCAACCACATAGTAACTGCAAAATAAGAAGTTAGTATTTGGCATTTCATTTCATATGTTGATAATTATAGACGGTTTAAGTTGTTAAAAATTCTTCACTTCATCTCTTTGACCTCAGAATTCTCTACTCAATATAAATTTAAGGTTTCACGTATTTTCTAAAGAAGCACTATAGGACTTTTTTTTTTTGAAGAAAACAAGATTGTTCTTTTATTGGTAATTTCCAGTGTGACACAAGGGCTCTAGGACTTGTTTTAAAGGACTGACTGGTTCCCTAGCACCCAGATGCTACTGAGCAGGGGATACACAAGGAGTAAGTTTAGTGGGGAGTACTTTGGGAACAACACCTATGGGAGAGATGTGGTAGAAGCAGGATTGAGCAGAAGCTGCTGAACAGAAGTTTGCAGCTGTAAGAGATCTCAGAAGACACTACTGGGAACTATAAAGTACGGTGGCATTTCAGAGTTGTCTTGTATTTAAGCAAGGAGTCAAGACTTTGTGTTACCCTCAGTCATTAGAGGCCGCCAGCTTGCAAGTAAAGAACTGTCAGCTATGAGTCATTAGTAGCCATCACTCCCAGCAATGGGCTTAAATATGTGGGGTTAAGGAACAGCTGGCTATCCAATAAGGAGTTTAAAATTAGTAAACTCTAATTTAAAAATTCTATTAGACACACAAAAAGAAAGTTACCTGTTGAAGAGAGCTTCAAGGAGACTTTTACATTTTGAAATAAGACATTGCATGCTTTTTATCCCTTAAAACATAAAAATATTCAACTTTCTAAATCTTTAGTGAAACATTACAGAAATACCAAAGCTATTGTCTCAAATAAGATATAATCTCTGTATGTTATGGAATTATACTTTCTCACTGTAAGATTTTTTTCAAAGACAAAGTGAAAAAAATTTAGAAGGAACTTTCTTACTTCATTGTGTTATACATTTCTAATTCTTTTTCTGAAAGATCCTTTTTTGAATTTCCCAAATGAAATGGATTTGGAAGAGTAGACTTCTTTTTAGTGCCCTGAAAAACAGTTAAAGAGATCAGTTTATATCTAAGAATATAATCAAAGAGCAGAAATGTTTTAAAAATTGAAAACTCCTCGGGCTAGGGATTTAGCCTGAGTTTGATCCCTGGCACCAAAAAAACCAAAAACCAAAAACCAAAACAAAACAAAAAAACCCACAAAAAAGCAAAACCCTAAAACTCATCTAAGAGAACTACTTACTATTTTGCAATGTTTCAGTGAATATTTTTGCCGCTAACTTGTACCTCTTGTGTTATCCTTCACTAACAAGGATCCTGGAGCCATGTCTTGGGAGGCCATAGTGGTGTTCCTTGAAAACTTCCTACTATAGCCATTATGGAGCCATAACCAACTTTGTTTACATACTTGTGTCTCTCCCAAGACTCTGCACTCCTCAAGTCCCACTCATTTTTGGATCTCCTTTGTGTAACAGCTCTCAGCATGTAGTAGTATTCAATCAACTTTTGTTGAATGGCTGAATTATAAAAGTTAATTCAGTTTCTCTTATGAGTTATTTATAGCTTTGTTATTCCTAAATCTATCCAGATCCTCTTAAGACTATATTTTCTACCAATTTTATTGACTGAGATGGGTACAATTATGATGTGTACTTCGTAAATACATTGCACTCAGTACTCTGACGCTGTTTTGTTGTTTGGAATCAGAAGACTGAATCTATGGTTGTTTATGCTGTATCACTCAAAATCTCTTATTTTGTTGGTGCCCCTTCTCAGACTCCACCTTTTTTATGTCTGGGATCACCTCCCTTCACGTACATAGGCAAGTTTCAAAAATGTTTTGAAAAACAAAAGCATCACTAGTATAAGTATAAAGTCTCCCAGGATTATTACTCTGATAATCACTTGAATATTTTATGGTACTTTCATGGCAAAAATCAAGAAAACAAAATAATCTGAAAAATGAGTATCTTTGCTTTACAGCCACATCTCGAATTTTTCAGTTTGGTGACCAGAACTTCACAAGTGCAGTTAAAAAAAGTACTTGTCTATAAAAATAAGTGTACACACACACACACACACACACACACACACACACACATTTTAAAAATTCTGATTCTCTTTTTGTTTCCACTTAATGTTTTAGTGGCTAATTAGTCAATGAACCCCCAAATATCCTACATCTAAGACGTTTTCTGTAATTCCCATGAATAGAGAATAAAGGGATGAATGTGACCAGCAAGATTGAAGAGTTTCTCTACCTATAAATACTATTAAATAGATATCCTAGATGTCAAGAGGCTCCTGTCTTATTACTTGGTGTTTCTTCTCTTTTTTGGTTCTAAACCTTTGGTTTGCCAATAGTGACTACAACCACTACTATTTCAAATAAGGAATGATCTCCCATTTAAAAAGCACTCTTACAATTATAAAATAAAGACTACAGAGACAAACTTGGCTCCCAGAATGTTCACACTTAGTGAACACACACCTTAAGCAAGACTCCACTTTCTTCTGAACCATCAGAGCCCTGAGATTCTCTCTGCTTCCGTATTGCATCCAGTGTAGGGTGGGGTCTAAGGCCAACACCTTCTACAGCTTCACAACCACTGTCAGATCTTCCATTATTTTGGGAGGGACTAGGTGCCCGAGTCTTTAAGGAATAGTCACCAAAAAGGGTTCTTCTGCATGTTGGAGAAGTTGCAGTTTTGGAAGTACCTTGTAGCCTACTAAAGACAGGCGAAGTGGCTAAACCATCTGTTTTTTCACGTGGCCCAGCAAGGAACCAGTCAGCACAAGACAAACAGGGGCCGGGAGAAGATTCTAGCTGCTCATCTATGCGGGAATTTGTCCCTTGTAGCTGATGAAGAGTAGATCTGACTTGATCCACATATATACAGTCTGGACCAGGATTCCCAATAGCTTTGGATGCACAGCCTCCAGCTTCTAACAGTACACATAACATATGATGTCTCTAGAAAAGAAAAATGTTATCATAGATTTATCCATCATAAAAGTATGTACAAATAACATGCATATATAAATTTATGGATACAAAGGACCTACGGGCATTTGTCACAATCATCTGATAATTTAAAATTTCTCTCATTATCAATGCTTCCTGATCTCAGTTGAAAACAATCTCATACTATCTTATTTTGGTAAACTATCAACCACTTCTCTTGGTACATGGTATTTCCTAAGATATCTTTCAAAGAGCCTCAATTATTAGAATTTTTTGCAATTGTTAAAATTATTAGAATAATTTGAAATTATATATTTATTCCATTTGGATTCTACATTCTTTTCATGTCTTCTTCTATTTACCCAAATAAGCCAAAGGATAATAGTATAGGAAGGGAATCAAAAGATCTTCAGAACCTGCTAAAATTGTTTCTTGGATTTTATACCTATTTCTTCATTGAGGATATGAAAGAAAAGGTATGAAAGGGTACATAATAGTTTTTGAATACTGGTATTCAACATCTCATAGTGTTTTTGTTTCTTGTTTTTTTTTTTTTGTTACTGGGGATTGAACTTAGGTCCTTGTGCTTGCAAGGCAGGCGCCAGAACCATTGAGCTAAAATCCCAGCCCAGCGTACTCATAGTTTCAAGTGGGTATGTTTGTAAATTTATTTAGAGTAAATACATGGCAAAAAAAAACCCCCCCAAAAAACAACAAAACCCAGATAAACTTACCAATCCAACAATTAGCAAAAAATACCTCCCTTCAGGTTCCTGAAAGACTTCAGTGTCTGAGGCTGAGGAAGGTTGGAGATGATGATGAGGAAACACTTCTCTCCATATTATCAACTGACCAATTCTCTGTTTTGCTGCTAAAGGCAGCAGCCCATAGTAGCGACAGTAAAGAGAAATCTCAATAAGGTCATCCGTAGGCAAATGGCTGCATATCAGGTAGCCCTTGAATTTAACCACAAAGAGCATAAGTCAACTTTAACTGGCTTAAAATATTCTGGTTTCAAACAGAATACACGAAGATATAGCAAAATTTTTTTCTGATGTCAAACTAGAGATTAAATGATAACTTATAGGATCTAACAGATACACTTTAGCATAAGGCAAGATTACCTCTGTGTAATGTCTGCCTGAGTGTTTGGCAGAACTAGTAAAGAAATGAATTGTCATAAGGGGAATAAATGAGAACCAAGACCTGTCATGTAAAGGTACAAGATCCTAATAATGAATGTAACTGTACTGTATACCTAAAATGTACCAATAAACTCAATAAGGAAAAAAATAAAAATAAAAAGCACCTATGAAGAAAAAAAAAAAGAAAATGTCAACGTGGAAAGTGAAGAAGCAAGAGTTGAAGTGAAGAGCCTGAGTTTTCACTGTGCACCCTTCTGCATCTTCTGATTCCTTGTTAAATGTGTTACAGATCATATTTAAAGATTTTTTAAAAATGGAAATACTTAAACTCATTTGATGCTTAATTTGTTTTCCACAGAAATCAACTATTTAATGTTATAAGACTTAGTTGAAAGATGCATGGTTATTTCTGAGGTAGGATTTAAAAGACCACACTATCATGAAAGGAAACCAAAACTACTGCTTTTCTCTCTTATATACTTGGCTCTTTTGTTTCTCATTTATGCATTTGAAAATGCTTTACATGCAATGAAACCGTAAGTATTTATTATATTTATAAGTGTATAAGTACCAGAAGCTTAATATCAGAGGAAAAGAGATAAAAGTATTTGTCATGGGGCCAGGGATGTAGCTCAGCAGTTCAGCACCTGCCTGGCAAGCACAAGGCCCTAAGTTCGATTCCCAGTACCAAAAAAAAAAAAAAGTATTTTTCATCTATATAAAAATCTGAGAAAATTTACTTTAGGTCTATGGCCATGGCAGTTAGATATTAATAAAAATTTTCAAACTTCAACTTACCTTATAAAATAGAGAAGACCCCAAAATTGTATATAGCCGTCTCATGTCATAGTAATCTTCAGACTATGGAGAAAAAAAAAACCAGTGGATTTATATCATGGTTTTGTGTTTATGTATGTGTGTGTGTGTGTGTGTGTGTGTGTGTGTGTGTTAAACTATAATAGTTAAAATGGATATTACATTCTTCAGAAACTAAAGTTTTCATAGTGCGTTCTTTAGAAATCAATATTAGGGTGAATATAATATGATTATATATTTATTTGACTAAGAAAAATCTTATTTTTGGTTCTTATAAAACTCGATTAGAGACATCTAAGAATGGAACATAAAAATTTGTTATTCTATGAGAGAGTTCTTTAAAAAAATCTGTTAAGATAAAAAGGTTTTACTATTTATCATCTAAAATATTCAATACTAAAAAGGAAGGAATTGCTGGGTGTGGTGGTGCACAACTGTAATCCCAGTAGTTGGGAGACTGAGACAGGAGGATCACTGCAATCCAAGGCCAGCCTGGGCTACATAATGAGTTTAAAGCCAGCCAAAGCTACAAAGAGAGACTGTGTCTGAGAAGAGAGAGAGAGAAAAAAAAAATGTGTGAAGGAGGGAGAAGAGAGGGAGGGAAAGAGGGAGGGGAACATGGAAATTAAAAACTTAGTAGAAAAGCACTAGGTTCAAACTCCAGGACTGCAAAAAATGGGGGTGGAGGGGATGTAGCTCAGTGATATAGCACTTGCCTAGCATGCTCCAGGACCTGGGTTTTATCCCCATATTCCAAACAGATCAAAACAAATAAAAATCATTCTGATAATTCCAAACTAAATTCAGATCTAGCAGGTCCTCACTAAAGTGCCAGATTCTCAATTAGTCACTATTACATCTCAAAAAACATTTAAAAATACACCAATATAATTAATGATGTTTTATTCCTATGCACTGTGTAACAAATATGTTCAAATGAGTGGAAAATCTTAAGGCAAACAAAACAGACTTTTTCAGTATCAAAACTGAAGCTTAATGTTGTATATTTCAAGATTACTTTAATTATACTTGAGAAATACTTAGAATAATAACTGGTTTACAAAATAAGAAGTCAACTTTGAGTCTTTCCTAAAATCTCCACCTCTTACCAGTTCTGCAAAATCTGCAGCCTCCAAGTCACTTAATGCTGTGTCTAATTCCATCTATGAAAAAATAAGCACAAACATTTGATTCTTCAATAATGCTTATTATATTATAAAGTACTTAACTACTTGAAGAATTGAATATCTTTCTCTTTTGCATCACATTAAAATTTCTAAAAATTGAACATCTTATTTTTAAGCTCTCAATTAAAAAACATTTATTTAACATGTAGGTATTTTTCAACTAAATCTTAATTGCTTCATAATGGTCTTCATCAACTATTTTCAATACAAAACTATTTATGAGGTTAAAGAACAACTTTCTAGTTTTAAGTTACAAATATTTTAGCCCATTACATTTCTTAAGGAAAATGAAAATTAATATTAATGTAGCTAACCTATTTTAAGTTGTTTTTGTTTTTCCATTTCCTGTATATTTCTCAACAGTTAGATTCTTGGAAAATACCAACATTCTTCCTTGTCTCTCTCCTGGACACAGTGTTTTGAATAAAAGGGTTGTCAATCTTTATTCATAGATTAAAACATGAAGGCTAGGGTTCCCCTGGAATCTGGCACACTTTAACTATCCCACAGAGTTTTTAGAAAAACTCAATTACATAGGATTTGCCTTTTGTTTTTATGGAAATTGCTTGAACTTTTTCTTAAAGCATCCACAACTTAAAAACAGTGTGAATTTAATCTGTAATGCATGTATACATACACGTATACACACACAAACACACATACACACACACATATATATTGAAAATTATAGGTAATCAAAATTTGTAGGATACACTACATGTAAGCGTCCTTTCTTTTCTCTTTCTCTCTTCTTCCCAAGGTCATAACATTCTCTGCAGGACTAAGCTTTCCTCACTATGTCTGACTGAGATGACAAAAGCTTTTGAAACATTAGTCATGCCTTTCATTGCTATTCACACAGCAGGACTTAAAACTCATTTGTGTCCTACATTTTCCACATCTAGCAAATATTTCACATTCTTCTTTTTGTAGCTATAGTTTATCTTGTGAAAAATTATGGGACAAAGCGATCACAGAATTGTGCTTTTTTAAATCTCAAAAATGGTTTAATGAGTTGCTATTTTTGCTACTGAACAGGCTAAAGTACAAGAATAATACAAATGTTTATTTATATTTCTTAAGAGAAAAAGTAAAATATTTTTCCTTTCAACTATTCCTGTTTACCCTAGAAAAATATGATTAAAAAGAATATCTAATAAAGGAGGAAATTTGCAAACACCTGGGAAATAAACCTAAGTGAGACATAACATATATTAAACTTGGAACAAATAAGTCATTTTCATGTTAAAGGTAACTAATTCCATATAAAATCTGTCAGGCACAAGTTTCCTTAAATACATGTTTTATACACGTTCTTGGACATTAAATTCCTTAATATTTTGCATTAGGAGATAGTCAATAAAACCTATTTTAAGACAGTGAGAACTCTCAAAGAGAAAAAGAAAAGTATGTTAAGTTCTTTGAGCTTATTGGTAAAATAAAAACTTTGGAGACTTTTCTGTTGTTGTTGTTAAACATGTAAACAGCTTGAAGTCGCCACTTCGTCCTAACAAGTAAAAAGCTTAAGGGAATAAAAATCAGTAACTCTTGGATCTGTAAGAGAGGTAGGACACAGTAAACCACTGTCCCCAAAATGGGAGAGACAGAGGAATTCAGGGATTCATTACTGACTAGAATACAGGCTTATGTGCAGAAACTGGTAAGAAAAGCAGTGTCAGGACAGGAAAATCTAGGTTGCCACTGACAAAATACTGAAGGCTCCATGTTAAAGAACTAAAAACTCCAGGGGAACCTGAGCTTGACTAGGTGGCACTGTAAATATGGAAGAAACAAGATCCCCTCATGCTTCTGGCAGGGGGAGAGTGAAAAGAACCTTTCTGAAATACCCCTGAGCACTCTGTTCTTAACAAAGCCTGCACTCAGGACAAACTAATTAAAGATAGCCTTACCTAGTGGGGTATAATTACAGCACCACTGACCTAGAGGAGAACAGTATAAAGCCAGCAAGCAATAGCCTTTCACAGTGGAGAAGAAAAACATCCTAACCTTCTATTTTGGGGAAGGAAAATCCCCAACTCAAGTTCACTCTAGACATCCTGTCTCACCAAAGGAGAAAGAATTAAAAATTTATGCCCCCACAAACAACTACAGAAGGATGTTTATATTTGGAAGAAATCAAGATATCTTCAGTAGGCGAACAGATAAACTAGCACATCTAAAAAAAGGATATTATTCAATACTAAAAAGAAATGAGCTATCAAGCCATAAAAAAACACGGAGGGATCTCACATGCTAACAATAAGTGAAAAAAGTCAATCTGAAAATACTACATATTATATGATTCCAACTATTTGGCATTCTGTGAGAGACAAAATGCTAGAGATAGTTAAAAGGTCATTCATTATGTCTAGGGTTTAGAGAAAGGGAAGAATGAAAAGGAGGAAATAGAGCACAGAGGATTTTTGATTGATTAAGTGAAACTACTTTTGATTCTATAATGGAGGATACATGTGTCTCAACACATAGAATGTACACTATAGAGCGAACCCTAATATAAACTATGGACTTTGGGTGACTTTGAAGAGTTAATGCAGTTTCGTAAACTGTAACAACTTTTATCACTGTGGTGTGTGACGCTGATAATCAGGGAGGCTATGCATGTGTGATGTGTTGGGGCTGGGGATATATGGAAAATCTCTGTCTCAATTATGCTGCAAATTCAAACTGTTCAGATAAGTAACAGAAAAACAGATTACATAGTGATATATACTGATGTAACTTTCCCAAATGATCTTGTCAATTATTCAACAATAAAGTTATTCTGGGTATAAATATGATTAAGGTTAAATTAACAATATTTAGTCATCATGAAGTCTTATATTTAGTAAGTGATGTATGGGATAAACCAAAAACTAAACCTAAATGTTTATGTAAAGAAAGATTTTGCTGGGCTGGGCAGGTAGCTCAGTTATGGCTAGAGTACATTCTACGCATTGAAAGAAGCCCAAGAGTTAATCCCCAGCACCAAAACCCAAGGTAAAACAAAACAAAAAATGACATTTTAATTAAGAATATTGAATGGGTGGGGGAGAAGAGCCAAGATATATCATGTAAAGGTACAAATTTCCATTGATGAAAGTCATCACATTGTATACCTAAAAATGTACCAAAAAGTCTATTTCATCCTCCAAAAAGAATACTGTTATTGTGCCCCCTTTTAATTTTATACAAACATATCCTGCCCTTAAATTACAAAATCAGTCACAAAACTCCACAGTAAAACATTATGATTTCTAAAAAGAATTCTAAACTTAAAAGTTCCAACTTAAAGTAGATAAAAGAGCTCATTTTTATTTATAAAGAATCATTTGTCTTTGTAACTTTACTGTACTGCAGCTCCTACTTCATCAACCAATTGCCTCTTTAATTCTTACTCATAGTGTTGAAACTTACAAAAAGCTGAAGGGGGAAAGAAGATAATGATTATAAAGTGACAGGTTCTGATTTTTACTTACGAGACCTCAGATTACCTTGATTTCCTGCGGAAGTGTGAGCCACTGAACTCCAGGGAGATTGTCTAAAAGTACTTTGCTGGCAGCATCATACTGTTGGACACTGGGACTGGCACTGGAATGTAATTTAGCAGGCTGAAGCGCTCTTTGAAAGAACAAGTTGAAAAAATGATCCAAACGGGAAACATTCTCCACCTGGCAAAAGGCACTGAAAAAGTGAGAGCTGTGAGTTAGAACAATGTATGGCAATGGTGCTCACTTTTTTTTTGTATGCCCCTAAGGGAACTGGCTCTTTCTCAACTACTAAACTCTTCCTCCCTTCACCTTGTAAGAATCATGGCAATAATGTTACTAATGGAGTGCTTAAGAAACTCACCCTGTCTCTATTTTTCCCCTCTAAAACACACTCACAAATGTACGGAATAGACACTGCAGAACAGTGATGGAAAACCTTTCAGAGTGTTCAGTGATAACAGATAGCTGGCTGTAGCATGTGTGCCACAGGTTAGTTACCACTGCTATACAACAACACAGATAACACATCAGCATATGTACAAGAGAAAGGACTGAAGAACTTGTTTTACTTTTGCAAAAATGAAGTTGCTTTTACCTCTTATTATCTCTTAACTATTTATAACGCCTAATATATCAGGCAACATAAGATAATGAAGAGATTCTGGGCTTGGTAATGGAACAACTGGCTTCTTTTTATTTTTTTTGGTACCAGGGATCAAACTGAGAACCTTGTGCTTGTGAGGCAGGCTCTTGGTGACACTGAGCTAAATCACTGGCCCCAGAACAACTGCCTTTTAATCTTGTCACTGCTCTGACTAGGTAGCTAGCTATCAGAAGAAATCACCTAACCTCTCCCTGGACTTTGGTTTCCAACTCCATAAAAATGGGTCAAATACAGCCTAACTCACACCCAAACCACCTAATACATAAGTACAAGTTTATTATGCTTATTAGTTACTAGTACCCAGTAAGTACAAAACAAAAAACAAAAGTTATTTCTTCTCTTTACTATTGAAAGTATAGTTATTGAAAGAGAAAGACAAAGTGAGAAGAGAGAGGAAAGGTAGGGGAAGAAGGGGGGACAGAAAAAAAGACAAGGGGGGTAGATTTTAAATGGTTGGTTTAAGCCATGCGAAAGTAATATAGCATTAACTCACCCAACAAATGTCTGAGTGCCTACTATTCTCACTGCTAGAGGTACACCAATAAAAATGCCAACACATACTAATGGAGAAAGACAATAAATAAACAAACAATAGAACCATGAGTTCATACAGAGGAGTATGCAAAGAACAGGATGAGGTGAATGGGTGGTGTCACTGGTTTGTTATACAGGATCAACTCCCAACTCCCAATTCTCCCTAGGAGCTGGGACTACAGGCATGAGCCACTATTTTAGATTAAATGATAAAGAAGAAAGAGTCTCTGAGAATGGTTCATTTAAGCTGATACCCAAATGGCAAGAGGAAAGAGAGTGGGGTCTATGTGGTCTTAGATCTGAAGGCAAACAGGAAGGAGCCAGATAATAATGCAGAAGGATCATCCAATTTCTTTATTAATTAAAGTGACTAGAATGGAGGTAAGAAAACCAGAGAGGAGACTACTCAAGAAGTGCAAAATAGTAATGGCTGGACAGGGCGACAGTGAAGATGGAAAGAAGCATGTAAACTGGAGATATGCTTTGACACATGATGATCAAGACTTGCTGATGGGGCCCGGGATTTAGCTCAGGGGCGCAGAACCTGCCTGGCCAATTGTAAGGTCCTCAGTTTAATCCTGGGTACCAAAAAAAAAAAAAGACTTGCTGACGAATTGGCTGATGATGGTGAAGGAAAATGCCATATTTTTAACTTGCTCACAACAGTAAACTGTTAATACATAGTCAGTTTTCTACTAAATAAATCACAACTTAAAAAGATGATTGTCTTTGGACTTGTAAAAAATTCTTTTGGAGAGCTGGGAATTCAGCTCATTGGGGCGGCCACCTGTTTTGCAAGTGCAAGGTCCCCAGTTCAATCTCTGATACCCCCCCAAAAAAATTCTTTTGCAATTTTTCATAATGGGCCTTTACTATTCTTCATTATAAGAAAAAAACTTATTAAAATTATGTATGTCTGTTAATAACAAATTATGTACAATATCTATTAGTAACCACGTTGCTTGTTGGTTTTAAGAACTCAATGGATCTTCACATTTATTATCTTAGATTGTCCTTCAAATTCTCACTTGAAAAAGTAGAAACTGATTAAATTTGCTGCCATCTTAGAGATACTTTCAAATAAAAGGAGGGTTAATTTTAAAATGAAATTCAGAGAAATTAAATCCCTGTGCCTCCACCCCATATCACCAGAATTTGCAGAGAAGCAATTAGTTGTTTTCAAGGATGAAATTCATTGCAGAAGTTTAATCTTTAACAATTTCTCATTTTATGGAAGCAGAAAGCAAGAATTAAGGTATAACATAGCAAAGCTTGCTTCTCTAGTGACAGATTTTGTTTTGTTTTTTGATACATGGTTTCACAGTGCAGTCCATGCTGACCTTGAATTCATAATCCTGCCTCAGCTTCAGTAATGCTAGATGTAATGTACATTAAGGAAGTAGTTTATAACCACACCCTTACTCCTTCATTGCTTTAGAAACAGTCTTAGTTACTAAAAAGGTAAATGAGTTATTCACAGATACCCTGACTTTTGTAGTCACTCATTTGGAAAATACTGTCACACAGACAGCTCCTCCAGTGGAGAAAGCAAACTAGATAGTTTTACCAAAAGAGTTAGTCACAGAACATTCCTTCATGATGCTTTGAAAAAAAAAAAAGAAAGACAATAAAAATTCACTATAGATAAACAGAGGTGCAATACTACTGGGGTTTGGAAAAAAATGTATAAACTATCCTTGAAGTTTTATACTGATGTATTCTTAAGGCTTTATAAGCAAAGATACCATTTTAGTCCTTAGAAGTACTAGAATTTAAACTGGGCGTGGTGGCACACTCCTGTAATTCCAGTATTCGGGAGGCTGAGGCAGGAGAATCACTGTGAGTTTGAGCAGCCTGGGGTCCATTTTAGTCCTTAGAAGTACTAGAATTTAAACTGGGCGTGGTGGCACACTCCTGTAATTCCAGTATTCGGGAGGCTGAGGCAGGAGAATCACTGTGAGTTTGAGACCAGCCTGGGCTACATAGTGAGTTCCAGATCAGTCTCAACTACATAGTAAGAATCTGTCTCAAAAAACAAAAAAAAAAGAAGTACTAGAACTTACAAAAATCCCACAAAGAGAAATTTATTTCCCATCTATAATTATGTGCTTAAATGTTGAATCATTACTTCAAAATTACTCCTTGAAATCAAGAAATATGCATCACACTGTAAGGATTAAAAAAGCCAAAGACATATACACATATGGGCTCACTGTGTAAATAACAAAGCTTGTATATTCATTTGTACAGAAAATATTTGGAAGAATACATATGAAACTAGTCAACACCTTTTCTACCACATAACTTACTTTTTACAACAACAGTGAATTTTCTTTACTAAAATGTTTTGAGAAAAAGTATATTTTAGTATAGTGAATTTGACAGTGGTCTTATAAACCAAAGAAAACAAATTCGAAGTTGTATTCTTTTCTCTATCTGTTATGAAGAAATACTCTGACATTTGACCCTATAGAAATATATTAAGTCAGTATATGGAGATCACTATGGAAAACTATGTAATGATCACTATGTATCATTATTTCACTAAAAATTTCACTGAAGTAATATATGAGATCAAAATAAGAAACATAGAAAGAAATGGATCAAGAGAAAAACTACTTAGCATTATGAAACAAAAACCAGCAATGACATATGAGAAAATTATAAGAATAAGGACAAAGACAAACCAAACAATATAGAAATAATATTAAGCAAGAAACAATATTAAGAACAAAAGGTGACAAAGACTCTTAGAGCTTGAGATTCAGTTCAAAGAAGCACTTACCTATCTAAAGAACCATATATAAATTTTAAAGTTTGGGCACTATCTTGTATCATATTTCTTAGTTGAGGAAGAGAAACTCTAAAACAACAAAAACAAAAACATTTATTCATTTATAATATAATGAAGAAATCAAACATTTTTACACTTTATATATAAGATATACATCAACTATGAGTAAAATTGTGAAAAATGGTTGCTTATTATGTAGCCATTGATCACCTCAATCAATCAAGCTTCTAGCATTAGTCAAATATGGACTTGTTTTGTTTTGGTACCAGGGATCGAACTCAGGACCTTGGGCTTGCAAGGCAGGCATGGTGCCACTAGGCTAAATCCCCAGCCTAAATATGGACTTTTAATATTACCAATTATATGGAAATAAACCCTCAGGAGAGTTCAGCTTCTTCATCCTTAAAATTGGGGCAGTAATCACTAAGCCCTCCTCAGGTTGATTTCTGAGGATTAAATGAAACAATTAATCTGAAGATTAAATGAATTAATTAACCCATTAATGTAGTTAGAGCAGTGTCTGGGACCATGCCCATGCTATCCCCCCAAGCCCCCCCATGCTAAATTCTTGACACTTTTCAGTATTATTGGACCCTCCAAATTCTTTGGCAAAACACACTGAGAAAGGAAAGAAAGTAGAACAGAAAAAAATAAATAAATAAATTTACATTTTTGTAGGAAGGCTGATAGGAATTCTACAAGGCAGGTTTTATTATTTCCATTATATCAGTGGCTAAAGTCCAGGAAGTAAAGTGACATGTTCAAGGTCACAAAGGGAGTGGAGACTACAGACGAGCATACATCTTCCTACCTCAAAAGTGATTCTTTTCGTAAGCGCACACTGTTTTCCTGGTTAGATTCCTCCTGCTTACTGTAGCTATCACAGGAGGATAATTTTCCTATCTGAAAACATATCCTGGATCACACTAATTTCTGCAGGATGGCACTCTTTTCACTCTGCTTCCTTCCTCACCCTCACCATTATGAGGTGAGAAGGGAAGTACACTGGCTATGGCATTAAGATAGATAAGAAAAAGATTCCAGGGTAGCCAATGCAAATACAAAACACTTGCACAATGATGTGAATACAAGATATATAAATGGGCACTGGTGAGGTGCTTGTGTGTGGTCTCTCAGTACTCTTTCTCAGTCTCAACAGATGATAATGATAATAATACATCTTATGTAAACAAAGATGGGTAAGGAAAAGGTGCTGGTACAGAGTGACTGGCATGAGCTATAAGAAATGGGTAAAGAGGTGCAAAAGAAGGTCAAGAGGCATACAGGGGGCTTATTTTTTTTTTTTATTTGAAGATCAGTGTGGAGAATAAGAGATCTTCAGGTTAATTCTAATTTATCAAGCCTAGTTTTCTAGATAGGAGTGGCGTAAATACTAGGGAAAATGACCTACATCCATCTTCCTGAGTGGTAAAGATTGGGAAATTGCCTAGAGCATCCCCCTTTTAGATCTCAGTAGCCAGCATAAAACTGCTCCTGGAAACTGTCTTTGTCTGCCAAAACTGGTTGGTGTCATGAGAATACAGATGAACAGCTTCTGCTCAGGTGCTTTGCTGAGCTTTCCTTTCCCCTCCCTAAACTGTTTATGCTACCTTTGTCTTAACGCTGTGTTTTGTTTCTTCTGTTTTGCCTTTTGGGCTATAGAAAAGTCTTAAAGACAAATGTTTTCCTCTACCATGACATCTTAAATCATCTTAATTTGGATGTTCTCCAATTCTTGTAAACCCATACTTTCAGAACAATCCCTCAGTCCAACCCATTGGCAATAGGATAAGCCTCTTAGCACTGTTCAGTATAACCCTTTTTGAGACAGCAAAACATACATTAACTGGTTAAAGATCACCATCATCCACTATATGCCAAAACTCCATTACACTTTCATGTTAAATCTGAACTCCACATTTATACTATATCTCTTTCTGTCCAAAATTAGTCACCTTCAGAACACAACCATTTGGTATTTTTCACTGCAGCTGCTTTTGGAATAATTGCTTAATTCCTCCCCCCGAGTGTGGTCTGGACTCAGTAACTTACTTCTAACAAATAATATATGGTGGAATGACAATGTTTCACTTCTCAGATTAAGCCATAAAGTACTGCAGCACCCTCTTCCTCTCTTTTGGATTACTTTCTTTGGGGGAAGCCAACTGCTATATTTTGAGGACACTCAACCAGCTCCCGGGAGAGGTCAGTGTGGCAAGGAACTGAGACCTCCTGACAATGACCATGTGTGTAAGCCCTTGGAAGCAGACTTTCTAGCTCCAGTTAAATTTCAGATGACTGTATCCCTGGCTGACATTCAGCTACAATGTCAAGACAGACTCTGACTGAGACAGAACTCTCGCTCAGGTACTCCTGGATTCCTTTACCATCATAACACCTGTAAGATAGTGTATGTTTAGTATTTAAATTACTTCCCAAGTAATTTAGTTGTAGTTTTCTTTTTTTCCCCTGGTACTGGAGATCCAACTCAGTGCCTCATGCATGCTAGGCAAAATGTCTACAACTGTGTAGACTTTCTACTCAAAAATTCTCTGTAAATTTGAGAGGGACATAATTACTGTTATATAGCAATAGCTACAACAGATAACACAATGTTATGTAATAAAAGAAAGCTAGTTAACAAAGTCTACAGCGATAGAAAATAATGTTATTTTGTTTAGATTGGCAAGATAATTATTTTTTTGGCCGTTGTTTTCTTTCTTGCATAATTTAAACATTAAGAGATACCATAAGGGAAATTTTATCAGAATTAATATTGTCTGAAATTGGGTCAGTCACACACTATAGTACTTATTTCAATATTTGATGTAGACCATATTCCATTATTCTATGGACCAAAGAAAACTGAAAAATGTGCTTAATACTTTAATAATAAAGTTACCCAACTATTTAAAAAGTTGTCAAGAATTTAAATTACAAGTTTTAAAACTCAGTGAACAGGAATGTACAACCATTCTAACAGTAATTAAATCCACCTTCTTGGGGGCTGTTCTCCTGTTCTCCATATTTGTACTCAATTTTTCCCCTACTTTTTTTTAAACCCCAACCACTCTTTTTACTTCACAAGTAATTTTACAAAAAGGTACAGAGGTCAACATTCATTTACAAAAGTAAGTACTCTATAGTTGTAATAGTAAATTCTGTTTTCATATCTCCTCCTTGGGGTTTTGCTTCTCAGAAAGTTATGCAGAGGTAGGTCTGTTCCAGATTCTTTTTTTCTTTTTTTTCAGAAGCAGGTGATTTTGTGTCTTGTGCTTTTTTGCTTTTTTTTCAAACAACTAAGAGGATTGGGGCCACTTATTTTCTAGCATTTTTTTTCCTTCTTCTCTGCTCAGGATTTTTCACTAAACCTTCTTCCTCTTTGAGTTGCTTTACACTTTCTTTCTTGTGCAGTGAGACAAGCTGACCTGACCTATGCCTTTAACAAAGGCATTTGTTTCTGGAGAAGGTTTGTCTGAGACTATACAGTGTTCTGAATAAAAACCATGAGAGGAATTCCAGGCTTTTTCTTTACTTTCACAGATAAATTCGGATTCTGTGTTGCCACAAAATAATGGTGAGGATTTCCCTCTTCAACCGTGGAAGGAAGACAGACAGTCTCATTCACTCACTGCTTTCTTGAAATGGGGACTGTTTTGAACTTGGCATTTCTGTGCAATTAGTATTGCCCCATACAAGTCCTTTTCCAAATGTTTCTAACTCCTTTAATACACATCTGGTGTGCACAGCTCCATCTCCCCTATCAGGTAGCTCCCGCAGCTGCTCCCACACCTGGATGCGGTACCTCATGGCCACCTGACAGAAAGTGCTGTCCAGCAGAATCTGGTATGGCGCCTGGACTCTGAAATTGTTGTGAAAGAAGCCAAGATGCTTCTTGGCATGTTTCTGCCCAATGATCAATCATTTCTGGTTTAGGTGGACTGAGGCCACTGGGCCAGGAAGCAGCACCACAGCCTTGCCTATTCTTTGGTACTTGCAGTGCTGACTACTCCCCTTCTCTCCTAATTTAATGTCCAGTGACATTATAGAATCATTATAGTAGAAAGAATTCAGACTGACTCTCTTTCAATTTCAAATTCTGCCTCTTCCTGACTTTTGTCAAGTAATTTAACCAATTGAATGTAAAGTACCTAATCCAGTCCCGAAACCCATGGCCAGTTCATGACAGATCCTGTTATTTCCAACATGTAAAGTATATTTTAAAATTCTTGCAAAAAGGAGGCCATGATAAGACAGACCATTAGAGAAATCACTTTAGAGTTTCATATTCATTATTTTTGTCAAAAGTGCTCAGAACAAAGTACCCTTACCCAGACCTTTAATTCTTAAAACTCTCCAAAAACAAAACAAACCAACAAAAAAACCCAGCATGCAAAAGCGAAATCAAAGCATTGTAGAGAGTTAAAAAAAAAAAAAAAGAGGACAATATCATCTCTCAGTCACTTCTAAAATTCTGTACAGGTCACAGAAAAGGCAAGTAGGTGCCCTGCCAGCCTCCAGCCTTGCTAATAAGCCCAGGTGGGCATTTATGGCATCTTTTGGGACTATGCATGCCAAATGAATACATGTATAACTACTTCATTAATGAAATGCACGTCTAAATCATAAAACTGTTTAAGAAGTGTGCCTCTGTTTGTAATAGCTAAAACTTGGAAACAGCCCATTTGCCTGCCCATCAGTTGGAAACTGGATAAAGATGTGGGTTTTCTATAAAATGGAATACTACTCAGCCATAAAGAATGAAAAATTAGACTCATTCATAGGAAAATAGATACATATTGAGGATATATTCCTAAGTGAAATAAATAAGTCACACATGTGTAAATACCGAATAGTTTCTCTGGTGTGAAAAACTATAATAGTACATAAGATCCTAATGAGATAATTGACAATGTGAAATAGGAAGAAAGGGGCTAAAGGTGTAGGGAAAGTGGGAAGGGTAGGGGAAAGGTAATAAGGGAAAAGAAAAAAATATGAGAAAATGGAAATAAAATATTTGTAAATGGAGAGGGGAGGAGGGGATGAAGGGAGGGCCGGGACAAGGGGAAAAAATGAGAACAAAGACCTGTCATGTAAAGGTACAAAATCCCAAAAATGAATGTAACTGTACTGTATACCTAAAATGTACCAATAAACTCAATTAAAAAAAAAAGAAGGGCACCTCTGACAAAAATAATTTTAATAAAATAGGCATTGTTAATACTATGTTAGAAATGATTTTAAGGTAAACAAAAATTTATACTTACTCTTCAGCAGGCAGGCCAATTAGCAACAACTTCTCAGATTCTTTCAAATAAGCTATATGAACTTGTTTGCCATTTAAAAAGAGGGATGAGCTAGAAAAAAATAAATTTTCAATAAGGTTAGATTATCCTTAAATATTATAAAATTATAAAAATTACCCCTAAGAAATTACATATGATATGATTTAAGAACAGAATGCTTAATAAACAAATTTCTTGGCATATATAACTGACATAAGGGCAAGGAATTATGTAAGAATAAAAATACATTCTAAAATATTTTAAAAACAAAACAGAAACAACCTAACTATGCTAAACAATAGACTCATTATTAAAAAAGAATGTTGAAATTCTTTTGTTAACATTAAGAAGCTATATAAATTCTTTTCCAAAAGAAACTTTCTTCCCAATTGGTTTTACTTATTTAATTATTTAAATTTATTTTTTGAACCAGGGATGAAACTTGGGACCTTGCACTTGTGAGGCAAGCGGCAACCTCACTGAGCTAAATCCCCAACCCTCCAGAAGGCTATTTAATACACCCTTTGTGACTGCCTATTTATGAACATGATTGGCTAAAGGGATTACAAAGAAAAAAAAAATGGTCCCAAGTAAGAAAATGACAACTAATCAAATCATCAGTCAAATTTAAGCATGTTCTTAAGGAAACTTTTAGAGTACTGCATATATTCATTGTAGTAATGGATGTATATATCAAAATTGATTAAATTGTATGTTTTACATATATATATAGTTTATTATATTTCAATTATGATTCATGAAGCTGGAAAAGCTTAAATGCATCCTCAAGAAAGATATAACAAACTATGGAAATAGAGTATATAAATGAATAAAGATGAATAAACATTTTTCTCAAAAAGAAATTACTTTTGTGTAATAGAGCTTAAAAATGCATATACTTATAGGCAAATACTAGTCTTTTCTAGTCAGATCAATATGACTATAGTTTTAAAAATGCATACGCCACAAGGCATACATATTGTTATGGAGGCCCTAAAATAGTAATTTTCTTACTTATTATTTCCTCAAAAAATGTTTCTAACTGCATTTATTTTTTTCCACATTTAACCCATATCTAATCATCACTAACAATATCTAATAAATAACATGATATCTATTCTAGAAAGTACAAAGATGAACCTATATGAAGAAACAAATTTTCTTCAAAGAGGAGGCCTACACCTTAAAACATTATGTTAAATCAAAGAAGTCATTCACAGATAACCACTCATCATAAAATTCCATACATGTGAAATGACTAGAACAGAGACATGTAGGAATGTCTGGGGTTGGCGGGTTGACAGTGAAAGGTTACAGGGTCTCTTTCTGAGATGACAAAAATGTTCTAAAACTGACTTTGGTGACAGTCACACATCCCATGAACACACCTGAAATCGTACATTTTTTTTTTTTTTTTTTGAGACAGGGTCTCACTATGTAGTTGAGACTGACCTGGAACTCACTATGTAGCCGAGGCTGGTCTCGAACTCACACAGCAATCCTCCTGCCTCAGCCTCCCGAGTGCTGGGATTACAGGCGTGCGCCATCACGCCCAGCCATGTACACTTTTTAAATGGGATTAAGTTTATCATTTATGAATTATATCTGAAGAAAGGTGTTAAAAATACGTAAGCAAAAAGAAGGGCTGACCATATAACTGCAGCACTTGTCTACATATGTGAGGCCCTAGGTTTGATCCTACCACCATAACAAAAATCAATCAATCAATAATAATAAAAAATTGTAAAAGTGTACAATGTGCTTTTAGTTAGTTAGTTTGTTTGGTTTGGAGGCAAGGTCTCAAACTATGTAGTCCAGCCTAGCCTCTAATTTGCAGTGATGCTTCTGCCTCAGCCTCCCCAGGGTTAGTATTTACTAGGCGTGGACCACCAGCTCTGTGCAAGGTAAATGAAAATGTATACATGAACTGGAACCCAGGTAACACTGTCACAAAAAAAGAACCAATTTCTGTATATAGTATTGTATATTAAAAACCACAGATGTAAATATGATTTTTATCTAGGAAAACATGGAAATTTTCCTCCTGTTGTTTTATAGATCTTACCTCTTTTTAAAATCCTAAGAGTCTTACAAAATTCAACTTGATATTTTATTAGCAATATGAGGCTCTTCAAACTTGGAATAAATTTCTTTTACAAACTCCAAAATTATTGAATTACTAAGGAAGGAAATTGGTAATATTTATTTTTTTCTATACATTTAATTAATTTGTTTTTCCTCACTGACATTATTGGTACACTTTAGATATACAATACAGTCACATTCATCATTGAGATCTTGTACCTTCACATGACAGGTCTTGGTTCTCAGTTTTTCCCCTTGTCCCTGCCCTCCCTTTGCCCCCTCCTCCCCTCCCCATTTACAAATGTTTTATTTCCATTTTTTCATTTTCTCCTATTTTTTTCTTTCCCTTATTGCCTTTCCCCTTCCCACTTTCCCTACATCTTTAGCCCTTTTCTTTCCATTTCACATTGTCAATTATAACATTAGGATCTTATGTACTATTACAGTTTTTCACACCAGAGAAACTATTCAGTATTTATACATGTGTAACTTATTTATTTCACTTAGGAGTATATCCTCAATATGTATCCATTTTCCTTTGAATGACTCTAATTTCTTATTCTTTATGGCTGAATAGTATTCCATTTTATAGAAAAAACACATTTTCTTTATCCAGTTTCCAACTCATGGGAAAATGGGCTGTTTACAAGTTTTAGCTATTATAAACTGTGCCACTATAAACATAGGTGTGCATATATCATTGATATGATTCTTTGAATTCTTTTGGAAAGATACACAGCAGATGGATGGCTGGGTCAAATGAAACCTCTAGTTCCAGCTCTTTGAGGTATCTCCATATTGATTTCCATAGTGGTTGCACCAGTCTGCACTCCCACCAACAATGGAGAAGGGTTCCTTTCTCCTCACAACCCTACCAACATTTGTTATTGTGTGATTTCTTGATAGCAGCCATTCTTTGTGCGGTGAGATGGAATCTTAGTGTTGTGTTCATCTGCATCTCTTGAATGACCAGTGATGTGGAACATTTTTCAAATATTAATTTGATGCTTTTACTTCTTTGTCTGAGAAATGTCTGTTCATTTCAGATGCCCATTTCTGAATCGGGTCCTTATATTGGGGGGGGCTGATTGTTTTGAGTTCTTTATATATTCTAGATAATAGTCCTTTGTCTGAGGAGCAACTGGTAAAAATTTTTTCCCACATTGTAGGCTGTCTCTTAGTTCTGTTGATGGTTTCTTTTGCAGTGCAAAAGCTTTTTAATAAGATGATATCCCAGTTGTTGATTCTTTCTGCTAGTTCCCATGCTACTGAGGATTTGTTCATAAAGTCTTTTCCTATGCCAGTGTCTTCAAGAGTTCTGCCTAACTTATCTTCCAGTAAATTTTTAGTGTTTCTGTTTTAATGTTTAGATCTTTAATCCACTTGGATTTTAATTTAGTGAAAGATAAGGGTCTAGTTTTAATCTTTGGCAGGTTAAGATCCAGTTTTTCCAACACCATTTATTAAAGAGGCTATCTTCCCTCCAGTGGGGATGGTCAGCTCCTTTGTCAAAGATGAGGTAGCTGAGTACATCTGGAGTTGTTTTTGTGTCTTCCAATCTGTTCCACTGATCCTCTCAGGTCTGTTTGTTTCTTTGCCAGTACCATGCTGTTTTTATCACAGTGGCTTTATAGTATAGTTTCAAATTGGGAATTGTTATACCCGCTGCCATGTGTCTGTTGCCTAGGATGGCTTTTGCTATTCTAGGTCTCTTATGGTTCCAAATGAATTTTTGGATTCTTTTTTCTAGTTCTGTGAAATATAGTGTTGGAATTTCAATTGGCCTTGCATTGAATCTGTAGGAAATTTGTAATAGCTAATCTATTTTATTTTTTAAAATCTGAACTTTGAGGCTGGAGATTTAGCTCAGTGGTTCCACTGCCTGACTTGCAAGAGCAAGGAACCGAGTTCAATCTGTGGTACCAAAAAAAAAAAAAAAAAATTATGTGCTATTTTGGGCCGGGGATTTAGCTCAGTGGTTCTGCCACCTGTCTCACAAGCGCAGAGGCCCAAGTTCAATCCCCAGTATCCCCCCCAAATAAAAAAATCTGAATTTTGAGTTCTCTTGTCTCAAAAGTTAAACATGGTGTGCAAATGTTAGGGCTTGATAAGTCAATGTGGAATACATAACTGTTGGATGTATTCTTTGTTTTGCTTTCTTTCTTTTGAGGGGTACAACAAAAGGGGGACTTCACACACAGAGACAAGTATTCTACCAATGAGTTACACTCTCAGCCCTAATTTTCACATTATTTGACAGTAGTTTTGTTTATCTCTAAATAAGCTTCACAGATCAAGAGATGATAGTGAATTCTGAATATTCCTCTTCAAGTGCATTCCGCATTTTTCTATCACTGCTGTAGTAACAGAGTATCAACTATTTGAAAAATTTAGTGCTCAATCACTCTTTCCAACCACAAAGGTATCATCCAACAGGTTAATCAGGATAACAATATGAGTCAGGCATAGTAGGGCATGCTTGCAATCCCATCACTGTGGGAGGCTGAGGCATGAGGATCACAAGTTCAAGCCTAACCTGAGCAATTTAGAAAGACTCTGTCTTCAAAATTAAGTAAATAAATAAATAAGGACTAGGAATGCAGATCAGTATAAAGGTCCTGTGTTCAATCCTCAGTACCACAGGAAAAAAAAAAGATAAAACATGAAGAAGTCCAAGACTCATAAAAATGAATGTATAAAAATACATTTATTGGCTGGGGATTTGGCTCAGTGGTTCTGCCGCCTGCCTCACAAGCACAGGGCCTGAGTTCCATCCCCAGTACCAAAACCAAAATACTTTTATGAAGAAATTATAAATATAGATAAATAGATGAACTTGCTTAAAGTGTGCCAAAACACCCAAATCTACAGCTGTTTTGAAACTTACACTATAAATTAAATAGATTACTGGTGGAAGTAACTTACAAGAAACAAAAACCTACTGATATCTTATCTACCATTATAAATATCTACATTATAGATACAATTATTATTTGTGTAACAGTTACTTTAGCATTTTATTACATTTGTTACAAAGAAAATAACTTCAACAAAAAGACTAAAAGCTAAGTAAAATTATTACCTAGTAACTTGTGTCCGGGTTACATTTTCCAGCATGTCACAGAGTGTGAGAAAAATCCCTCTCACACTTTTAAGTTTCTGCGATGCTTCAGACATTGGATAATGATAAAGAATTTCTTGCTATTAAATGAAAGAAAACAGAAATGATCAAACTGCCAAAATTTTCTAATCATTTTTGTGATGTAAAGTGGAGACTTTGTATTATGAACAACAAAAGAATTCATTTAGCTTCAGTGAGAATTGTATTCAAATACAAAGAGAGAACTATGCCTGGAATTTTAGCACATTACCTAGAATTTAAAACACTACATTTGAAAAAAGTTAGAGTTGAGAATTGGTCACAATACTGTATACTATATTCTAAGTAGAATACCGATTAAGCAAAGTTACAATTACTTTCAAACTGTTTTAAACTTTAATCTCCTTAATAATTTCTAATACTTAGTATTTTTCATTATACAGATATTCTTATCCACCATGGCTATATAGCTACCTATACCACTTTTAGGAATCTTTTAGGAATCTTTAAATTCAATTATTTTCACAATTGACTTTGTTTGTTTGGTATGGGTGATCAAACCCAGGACCTTGTGCTTGCGAGGTAGGTAGAGCACCACTGTGTTAAATCCTTGGCCCTCACAATTGACTTTGAAAACCTAATCTTTATTTTTGATAAAATTATTAAATGCTTATTTAAGCCCAAGATCAAAACTGCAATTGAACTGAAGAAAGTGAGAACACAAAAATAAAGTAGTACATAGGAAGGAAAAAGGATCACAATATTATAAAATTTTATCTGTCTTAAATATGAAAAGATTTGTAAATTTCAAGTCAATCTGAATTCAAAAGGTTAAATGAGAACATATTTTATTTTAAATTATGGAAAATACTAAATCTGTAAGATACTTCACAAAATGCTATTTTTTTCCATTTTCAAGAAAAGCACATTCCCAGGAAACAAATAGCTTTTTACAAAATAACAAATCTCAAAATCCAGATGTGTACCATCCTAATACTTTTAAAACAGAAAGAGATGAACTATTGTGTGTTTCACTTTTTTGTTCTTAAAGCAACATGTATTTTTCTCTTAAGACAAATTCAAGCAGATAAAATAAAAGTTTCTAGACAGAAGCCACGGAGACTTCAGAATAGTGCACTGTTTAGTGACTATGTCCACAAATACTAATACTTTCAGTTGAAAGAACAAACTCCTTAAATACTGTGCTATTGTTTCCTGGGTTCTCTCTCTAAAGAATGTTGTAACTCTGCTTCATTCTCTATGCAAGAAATAATTATATAACCCTCTGTCCATATATAAGCAATTTTTACATTAAAATATAAATAATGATAAACTTGACACATATGCTTTTTATACTTACTAAGCACATTCAATATATCCAAATTACTGTGAAGTATTAGTCAAATACATTCTGCCTAAAATTTCAAATTTATTTGCAAGATTTCTACTGCAAAAATAGTTATAAAACATTATTTTACCCTAGAAATTGAGTCAAACATAAATTAAGATCTCTTGTTATGTCTACTAAATAAGTTCAACTTTGGCCAATAAATATTTTTAATTGTATTTAGACAAAGTACCAAAACACTTCAAACAAATAATCTTTGGCTAGTTTTTGAAATTTCCCAACTTATGGTCCTTTCATTCTAAATCTTGTACTAGAAAAAGACAATAAGTTTTTATTAAATATGTAACTCAGAGCAAAGAAAATAACCCTCTGACGTGCTGTAAGTAGATTGTAATAGTCAAAAAGGCCATTTCAGAGAATCTCTATTACAGTCAGTAATGAAGACCTGGCAAACACTGCAGCTCCTAACCAATTTAATGAGCTGTATTTTTAGGCACTTGTTAGTAGCATGCATTTGTAGCAGCTTCCACTCTGCTCAGTAAGTATAAAAAGCTCTTTTAACTGCAATGTTGATACATGGCTGGCAACAGACAGAAAACTGTTCATTTGAGAAACATCTACACACTTTCCCAGGGATAGAAAGACGAGGATGATAAAAGGTCTTAGCAGTATCCTACTCCAAAATGATCTAGAAAGACTCAGGATATTATTATCTGTGAATTTGTTTAATGTTGTATTTGGTAAGTGCTTAAATGACTCATTTGTTTTAAAGATAGAAGAAGCCAGTAACATACACAAGAAATCAGAATTATAAACTTGGTCTCTATGTATTTTCAGAACATCTAAGAATTTTTGTATTAAGTTATTGGAGATGTTAAGGTTGTTTGGTGTAGTGATTAGCCTACAGTGATTAATATAATCTATTTGATTGTCATTTAGGATTATAGAGATACTCTTCAAAAAGGGGTTTTAAAAAGACATCATCATATAAATCACAATTAAAGGAATTTATTTCCCAAGAGACTATCACAAAAGGCAAGGTTAAAATATATGTTTTTAAGAAAAAAAAATGGATCTAATAGAAAAGTATAATATATGCGTGGTTCGTAAAGAAAATATCTGGAGCGCTGGGGATTTAGCTCAGTGGTTCGGTGGCCTGCCTTGCAAGCGCAAGGACCCGAGTTCAATCCTGGAAAAAAAAAAAAAAAAAAAAAAAAAATCTGGACACATAAATAAGGTTTACATGTATGAAATGTATAAAATATGTATTGCATAATACATAATTTACATACTTTATAATTTATATAATTTAGTGTTTAAAATATAATAATGCTAATAATTAGTAGCTGTAGTACCATATGCTCAAATTATGAAATTTTTAACAGCAATAAAATACTGATAACAACAGTATGCAGAAGAGAGGTAACTTACCGCAAGGGCCTTGAATTATTTTGAAAAAGTGTAATACAGTATTTAACTTTAAAATCTGTTAAGATAAGTACAATGGTAAAAAGTAAAAAAATAACATCTAAAAAAACAGAAATAGGGCAGGGAATGTAGCTTACTGGTAGCATGCTTGCACATGTGCAAGGCTTGAGTGCAGTTCCCAGGGACAAACTCCCCCCCGGCCCCGCCCCAAATAGGATACAGTAAGAATATAAGCAACCAATTTTGGGTAAGAAAAATATGAAAAAAATAGTTCAAATAGAAAATTCTGAAGATAACAGAAACAAATTTGAACATTTTAGTAACCTCTATATATGATCTTGTCAATTAGAAGTTAGATATTGCCAGGTTGGAAATTGATGTAAGAAACATACCAAAATATAAAGACACAGAATGGAAACAAAAAAAGAAAAAGCAGATAAGCCACTCAAATGCTTATAAAAAAAGCTCTAATAACATTAAATATTAAAAAAAAACTTTAAAGTTAATGTTAAAAAAAAAGACAAGACAAAGAACAATTTCTGGATACAAACAAACTATCAGATTTGAATTATGGAGTAGAAAACCTGAAAAAGACCAGTAATGAGCAATGAGATTAAATCAGTAATGAAGTTTCCCATCAAAAAAGAGCCTAGGACCTGATGGCTCACTACTAAATTCTATCAAATACTTAATGAAGAACTAAGTGTTACCTGGGTTCACAACCTCAATTCTCTCCATGATTCTGGTTGCCAACTGAAATAGATGAGAACCAAATCAAATTTCCCCATAAAGTCAACATTGAACCAAACTATTTAATTTGATTCAGTTCTCATCTAACTCAGTTTGCAACCGGAATCATGGAAAGAATTAAGTTTGTGAACTAAGGCACAACTGTACAACCTTTGTTTTCTTTAAATTACTGAAAAGAAAAAGAAAAAGAAAAAACCCCACAAAAACTGAAGATGAGAGAATCCTTCCAAATTCATGTTATGAGGCCAGCATTCAAGATAGATAGAATGTGATCATTAGGTATATCTAAAATGTACCAATAAAATTAATTTTTAAAAAGACAGGTAGAAGAAAGAAAATGGGCTAGGGATTTAGCTCAGTGGGGCCTCCACCTATCTTATAAGCACAAGGTCCCGAGTTCCATCCCCAATACCAAAAACAAACAAACAAAACAAAACGGAAGAAGGAAAACAAACTATTGACTAATATCCCCTTGAGAAGCATAGATTCAAAAATCTGCAGCAAAATTCAATAGTGTATAAAAAGATCATTTATCATGATTAGATGAGATTCATCCCAGGCATTCAAAGATGCTTCAAAATACACAAATTTATAAATATGAGACCACATCAACAGAACCAAAGACCAAAACCACATGACCATTTCAAGAGATACAGAAAAGAACACTTGAATACTAAACTAAAATAAAAATGAATCAAAGATCCAAATGCTAAAACAGAAACAATCTGCTGGAAGATAAAACTGGTAAAACTCTTGACAACATGGGCATAGGCAAGAGCTTTTGAAACAGAACCCCAATCGCACCAGCAATAACATCAAGAATCAACAAACAGAATCAAATAAAATTAAAATGCTTCTGTAAAGCAAAGGGAACAATGAATAGAGTAAAGAGACAATCTACAGAATGGGAAATAATTTTTTGGCAGCTATTTCTCAGACACAGGAATACCTAGAATATACAAAGAACTCAAAAAATTAGATCCCCAAAATAAAAGACTGAATGAAAGTGGGCTGGGAGAAGTTCAAGCCTGGCTGGGCCAGGTGCGCAGCACTCCTGTCTCCTGAGCAAGCTCGCCTAAGTGTGTAGACGCTGGGTCTAACAGGCTACCCCTCCGCCCCTAGTCTGCGACTCCTTTGCCTGCCCAAGAAAAATCACCCCACCACATGTCTAGCCAATAAGATATCGCCCAATGTTCTCCACTAATGTATGGATCTGCATAACCTATTAGACAGTGCCATGTAATTAAAGGCTCCCCCCATGTCCTCCCCCATGGTCGTCCACACGTAAGCTATATAAGCCTGTGCATTTCCTAAATAAAGTGGACGCATTTCAGCAATCTCCCTGGAGTCTGCCTGGTGATTCCGCGCCTTACCCTCCCAGTCCGAGCTCCTGAACTGAACTCTGCAGACCAAACAGCAGAAGACAACAGTGGGCAAATGAAATGAACAGACACTTCTCAGAAGTCAAATGGCTAATAAATACAACAAAAAGTGTTCCACATCTCTGGCCATTAGAGAAATGCAAATTAAAATAGCGCTGAGATTCCATCTTATTCCAGAAAGGCTATCATTAAG